GAGACGAAATTGAGCTATTTGTAATGAGGTGGATAGACCTAGAGTCTGTCATACAGAGTGAAGTAAGTCAGAAAGAGAGAGACAAATACCGTATGCTAACACATATATATGGAATTTAAAAAAAAAAAATGACATGAGAAACCTAGGGGTGAAACAGGAATAAAGACACAGACTTACTAGAGAATGGACTTGAGGCTATGGGGAGGGGGAAGGGTAAACGGTGACAAAGCGATAAAGAGGCATGGACATATATACACTACCAAACGTAAGGTAGATAGCTAGTGGGAAGTAGCCGCATAGCACAGGGAGATCAGCTCGGTGCTTTGTGACCGCCTGGAGGGGTGGGATAGGGAGGGTGGGAGGGAGGGAGATGCAAGCGGGGAGAGATATGGGAATATATGTATATATATAACTGATTCATTTTGTTGTGAAGCTGAAACTAACATACCATTGTAAAGCAATTATACTCCAATAAAGATGTTTAAAAAAAAAAAAAAAGAATAAAGAACCATATATAATTCCCAGATATTAAAAAAAAAAAAAAAACGTTCTTCAGTTCAGACTCCTGTCCGGTTAGCCAAGCCAATCTCTGGGCCCTCCAAGTCATCCTATGCAAGGGCACAGTCACCGGTAAAGCCACTTAAAAAGCAGAGACCCAGGCCCCACTCCCAACTCTCTGAATCAAAAATTCTGGGAGGGTGATGAGCACATCTGTGATTTTATAAAATCCTACGGGTGAGTCAGATGTGTGGCAGGGTTGAAAACTCGTTTTAAATTGATGAGCACTGATTTAACAGTTTGGTAAGATCACCTAGGGTTCACCAAACACACCGTTTCTTTTCCCCAGAGCTTGCTTACGGATTTGCTGGGCAATTAATGGAGCAGCGCCTGAAGTCAACTACTTCACCCAGCTCAGGATCCCGTGTGTCATGTCACCTCTTCAACAGACGGGGGCTTGCCTGCGATGTACGTGAAGACTTTCTCCTTAGGGTCACTATTTCACTATATCGTGCTTTAGACCTTTAAAAACATAAATAATCCTTTGACACCATCAGCAGTCATCTTAGTGTCCAGGGAGTTGACAACCCCCATCCTCACCCAGCCTGCTATTGCATTCCTATGCAACAGTGAGTCAAGGGTGACTCTCAAACTCACCACCCTGGGCTCTATTTTAACCAATTCAACACTCTCCTGGCAAAGCTCCTCCTTCTTGACAGACCTCCCTGGGCCCCAGCCCTGGGCCCAGCTGCTCGGCTGGTGGCAATGGCCCTGCCTGAGGAAGAACCGCCACACACCCAGGGCCTGCCCCTCTATCTTACCTTTGGCTCGGAATCCTCCCCCTTTGACTGCAGCTTCAGCTAAAGACCTGAGGCAACTATAGTGATTAATGAGGAAATATTGGGAGTAAAATTTACAAGAATAAAATAAAATTTTACAGAAGTATTTTAAATAAACTGTGGTCTTTAAAACAGACAAATGAATATAATTCCTACATGGCCTTTCTACATGTTGCAACCTGAGAAGTCCTCAAGTATCTTTCTAGATCTGAGAGCACACGGTTGACCACACCCGAGCCTGCATCACCCAAGGGCGCCACCTTCACCGGGAACGGGTGTGCGCTCACTTACGCCCACCTCCTCCATCCTTCACCAGGAGCTTTGTCACCCATTTTTCCTGCCGCACATTTAAACTGCGTTTTACCAGCCAACAAGATTCCTACCGCAGTGCCTCTGTTCCTTCAGAACCCAGCTGAGACTGGACACTGACATCCAGTTAAGGCACAAGGAAGCGAACTGGAGATTCATCTTCCCTCCTCGCTGCTCTGAAGCAGCGTCCCCAAGTCCTGCTGCAGGTGGCAGGGAATTCATGACATGCCAAGCCTGAAACTTAAGTCATTCCCACCGCTCTCTTTAATAAAAGGTCATACCCTCAAGGTGTGAAATTATGTAAAAAAACAAAAACCCTGTGTTTTGGGCTTCCCTGGTGGCGCAGTGGTTGAGAGTCCGCCTGCCGATGCAGGGGACGTGGGTTCATGCCCCAGTCCGGGAAGATCTCACATGCCGCGGAGCGGGTGGGCCCGTGAGCCACGGCCTCTGAGCCTGCACATCCGGAGCCTGTGCTCCGCAACGGGAGAGGCCACAACAGTGAGAGGCCCGCGTACTGCAAAAAAAATAAAATAAAATAAATAAACCCCGTGTTTTCATGTAAAGAAGCTGATATTGAAACCTGTGGGGCTCTACCTAGTTATCTGGTACACATTTAAATCATTGTGTTTTAGTTGGAGAAATACTTTCGTCTTTGAAGATCTAAGGTAAGAAAACTGATGACAAATACCTCGGGCCCTCTCTGTGTTAAGGTGAATGGTATCCCCAAAAATTACGATGCAAGAACACCTTAGCTCTTTTATCATGTTTTCCTGTGAGCAGCTGAAACCAGGGACCTTGGCTGTACATATGCCAAAGAGAAAGAAAAACGCACAAACCGACAAGACCACTTACCATGCTAAATGAGTCTTCCACAAAAAAATAACGAGTGCTTTAAACACAGGGATATGTAGGAATTAATACTAGAGTGTGAAAGCCCAGGTGATACCCACAAGATGGTTCTCAGGGGACGGGGAGACAGGTTACTGCTATGCATTATGAGGGATGAAGAAGAATACGATAAGCTATGTTCTTAGGGTTTTCTTCTCCTTTGTACTAAAAATTACTTGATGTATGTTTTCAGCCTAGGAAACAAGTCTAGGGAAGGAGATCCATCGTTAAGAAAATGAGACCTTCTACTCTGCACTTCCTGACACCAAAGGCTTCCCAACGTCGAGCAATCCCAAGGATTCTAAGAAATCTGAACAGACTCAGTATACCGATCGGTTTTTCTCCTAACCCTAATCTTAAAATTTCAAACTTTCTTTTCATATACGGCACTAAGACCAAGTTCTGTATCTGGAATGAACCATCTGATCTGTTAGCTTTGGTCACCACTACAAAAATGGATATAAAAATGAGTACTGAACTTGTATTCTGAGAGCTAACAGAGTAAAGGCAGGCCAAAAGGAAACTGGGGAACTAATCTAGAAGAAATTTAGCATTTACTATCGCATCATTGTATTGCCTTATTATAAGACTTATTACAACAATAAGTTTAACAACATAGGAGCTGGGAAAGACGATACAGTAGCAAACAGAGTAGTCATCTTGTGGGCCTTATATAATTATTGTAGCCTTAATGATTTTTCACATGTATCAACAGTTCTAATATTCATTAAATAAAAATAAGCCTAAGTTTTTTGGATACTGATTCTGATATACAAAATGTGCCACTTACCTATAAAATGCTCATTACCCTAAGAAAAACACTAAAGGAAGTTTCTTTCATACATGTGGTAAGTGCACTTTATGTAGACAATCTGAACTTTACAAAATCACATTTAAATTTACAGTAAGTTTTTTGCCTTCTGAAAGCCACCTTAATGTATACTTATGCAGGCTAACTTATAAAAAACAGGAGACTTTAGGTTAGGATTAATTCACTGTGGCAGGAATTCTAGACTTTCGTGTATAAAGTCCCTGATAGGCCCCCATCAAGGATCTGGGGAAAGAGGAACGATATTATTTGTATTTCCTCTTGCTTCCAAGCAGGTCAAATCCTAGAGAAAATCATCTAACTCTCACATCCATCCTAAACATTACGGCCTATGAGCACTTTGAATCAAAGAGAAACTGTGAATATCAAGTAAAGAAACAATTTTAAAAAATCAAAATGGTCTGTTAAACCTCCAATGTTTACTTTCCAAGATTTTTGAAGCCTACGTTGATGTAACTACTGTTTTCCTTTCTACACGTCTGACTAAACTTATAGTCAGTATACCCACCAGACCATTCATTACCTGGACCAGGTTAATTGCATAGAAAGATTTCGACTATGTTTACATTTTTCTTAAATTAATTTTAAAAAAGCATAGTAAAGAGTCTGAGGACAAATTATTCAACTGTTTATCATACATAAGACCGCATGACTATAATACAAAGGGGAGTTCTTTTTCATTTAACGTTACAATATACACAGCAAGTCCGGACCAGATCTTACAATCTGCACACAGGTATTTAACCTTTTCCATGCTGTTTATGTTTACAATGCACAGAAGTCCTGTAACCAAACCGTGTAGTAAAGCACACAAAACTGGACTGTAACATAACACAGTATGCAGAAGCATTGGATTTTATGACTTCCTTTATGTAAATAGCGGTTTAAAAACTGCTTTCGTTTTTTGGTGCTTGCTAAGATGTGGCAACCAGCACAGAAAATGACCTGACCCATGTATCTTCACCTTATATTCCTAAACAGCAGTAACTACTGAATTCCTTTTGATATTGCTAGACTCAAGATGATGTCCTTTTATTCACTGTAAACTTTATGAACTACCGAGTTCAAAAATCCATCCACAGGCTTGACATTTAATTACAAAATAAAAATGGATTTCCTGATTAACAACAACAAAAAATTTTGTGGTTTATAAAAACTGATATTCCCAAGTTTCCATTCACATGATTTTAAGCCTTTTTTCTTTTGTCACTGACTGATTACATATAAAAACCTGCTCTTGTTCAGAAAAAATTGATCTAGTCAGCCACATGGAATTGACCAATAAAAACTAATGTGGTGTTTCTGCTGAGTTGTTTTGAACAGGGTTATCGGCAGAGGTAGATTACTGCTTCTTTTCTAGGCTTCTTTGATCCCGGACAGGTAAATTCCTTAATCTTCATTCTCCCAACTCAACCGCTCAAAAGTTTAACACCATAAAATTGGTCAATTTAAAATGGGAACACAAATTTAGCAACTGCCAGACTGTGTTACATTAAGGCAGCACAATCTCAAAACTAGGCACCTGTTAGACACCAGCCTGTTCCCTTCCGGGTCATGCATGGAAGTTTTGCTTTACTCGTGCTCATAGTTTAGACCTGTTGGTGCAATCAAGGTCTTGCTTTCAAGTTTACAAGTAGGTTAATCAGGAATACAAGAATCAACTGCTGGTTCCACAGCTTCTGGATCCAGTGTCCCTTTACCTTCAGAAGCCTGAACACATTTAGGATGTAACAGCTGTTGTAATCTTGAGTTAGATGTCAATCTATTATGTTCAGTACACAGATTGCTGTAAATGTATTGGCTATGGATTCAACAACAGTTCCAGTTTTGTTTAAGCAATAGTACAGCCATAATTTTCAACTGACATTTAAAAATGGTCTAGTTACACCTTGTGTCAAAGTGCAGAACTGCTACATTATTGGTTACAGACATCTATGTGCTATAAAAACAGCTTTGGTACAATAAATTATCAAAAAAGAAAATAAATTTTTGTAAAATTCACAGCATAATTGTGAGGCAAAAAAGCAGTCACATAAAATTCTGCATTTTTTTAAAAATGTTCAGGATGAACAGAAGACATCTTTGTGCAGAAGAAATGGTGGAGATACCACGTGCCGAGAAAAAGCAAAAGAAAAAGTAAAAAGCAGGAAGGGACACAGCTGTAGCTATTTCCATCAAAGCAAACCACTACTTCTGTGACCTTCAACCAATAAGGAAGTCAACTTTATGACACACGCAAAGTGACCTTGCAATACCTTACAATTAGTGGGTCACAAAAGTCTATTTTAAAAGAAAGGCCTCTTGAATTACCCATTCTCTGTGTTTTCAGCATTAAGGACTGTCTGCAAAAGCATGTCCAAAAGTGATTGCATCTGAAATGGTAGGCTCTTCTAACTTCGAGTCCAAATCCATAAGGCCAAAGGTTATCCCAAAGACCACCACTCAGACCTCCCCAGGACTGGCCACAACTGACCCGTTGATTGCTTCTCAGTGCACCTTGGTTAGGAGACCAGTCACGTTCCATTACTATCTCACTGTGGCCTCAACAACGGGAGACCCACAGGATCCCAGGCAATTGCTGCTTTGCTCCTCAGTAGGTTCAGACAGGAGAGTTCTGATCCCGCCACTTAGCATGCTTACTGTGCCTTACAAACTCCAATACAACCGTCCCTTCCATACAGCTGAAGGTGATGTTTGTGTGAGCTGGAGGTCCCTCTTCCTTACAGTACTGCATTTCCGTGCCCAAGTGTGTTTAGAGGACTTAAAACCCCAAATTTCCCACCCCCCACCCTAAACAAAATGAAAACAAAACAAAAACGGGAAGGAAAAAAGGAAAAACAAAAATGGAAGGAAAAACACCCTCATGGGGCCCTTTAAAATGCAAATTATGTGCAGTGCCTTTTATTTTAAAATTAGTTGGCAAATGATTAAGACCAACATCTGAACAACAACTTCTGTGGAATAGAAAGACAAAAACCCCACTATGACTGGGATGTGGCGAGTTAAAATGGGGGAGGCAAAAAGAGGACACCTCTGAGCTATCCGTGAAGATGGGTTTGGACATGGCTCTTTTAAAAACTTCATTGTCCCTTTGCAATCTTTTCAAGTTAAAAAAAAAAAAAAAGTCAGCTTTGCCCTCTTGTAGCGGTTCAGTGTGTTAATCTCCTTCTGATTCAAGCAGCTTTGCACTTTGTTTTTTGGAAAAAAACACCACTTCTATAAAAACACACAAGAAACAAACTCAAGTTTCAATTTAGTCACGAGCTAGCTACAGGACTCTGTTGCACACAAACTCCTGTCATGGGGGACTCTTCTCTATCAGCCCCTTGCCTCATTGTCAGATGTCCTTCAGTCATGTAATGTGCAGGACCTGTATTAGCAGAAAATTGGTATGTTGGATGTCCAGCTATGCCAGTCTCTTGGCGGGGATTGGAGTAGACGGTTAAATTAACGTCCATAGCTCCATTCTGTCCAAAGTCCAAGGTATTAGCAGCCACTGGGCGATTCTGGTAGGCTTGATTGCCTTGATTACCAGTAGAGGAGGAAGATGTAGAGGAAGAAGTAGTTGAGGAAGACAGGGATGTCATGGAGTGGTGACTATGGCCAACCTCCATAGAATCCTGGGTAGAGGAGCTATTTGTTGGAGAATTGTAGACCCTTGGCCTGGTCCGGTTGCCCAAGGCTTGTTGTCCATGGTGGTGGTGGTGATGGTGGTGGTGGTGATGATGATGGGAACTGTTTCCATGGTGATGATGCAATGCATTCTGTTGAGGGGCTACATGAAAGGTTGTTTCTTGAACAGGATGAGTTTCAACAGTGACTTGTGTAGGAGCTTCAGTGCCTGACCAACCAATGGGAGCAGGAAATTGCTGACGCACCTGTAAGAACAGATTTTAAAACGATTTAAGAGTACCGTTTCCAAGCTTTAATCTTCGATAAAAAGCTACAACACTAGCATTTACATTAGTTAGAGAGAGGGTTTTGAAACCTTAATGTGTTAGACAGTTCTATAACACAAACTTCCAAATGTGTTCAAGAGTGAAAAATATTTTATTATGAAAGCTTCAATTTTTAGCAAGTTACACCCATACTCATATATTTTACTCGCCACTTTCTTTCCTTGGGAGCACTGTTTAAGCCAGGGGTCAGCAAACTTCTTCTGGGAAGGGCCAGATAGTAAATATTTCTGACAGGTCCAAAAGGCATTCTTTACTTTCCCCCTAAAGCTCCTCCTCTCTCCAATCTTTCCTGTTTTAATAGAACCACTAGTACCCATCTAGCTGCTCAACCATTCCTCCATCCAAACAATCAGCAAGTACTACTAAAGCTACCTCCAAAATAGAACCCAAATCTGGCCTCTTTTCTCCATCTCCACCACGACTACTCTATCCTAGGTCACTATCATCTCTTGCCTAGACTAATATAACAGCCTCCTAAATCAACTCCCATCTTCCATCTTTGCCTTTTTCCAAACCATTCTCCAAAGAGTAGCAAGAACAGTCTTTTTAAAACACAAATCCAAATCAGGCAAGAAAAAGAAAAGTCATCCACATTGGAAATAAAGAAGTAAAATGGTCACTACCTGCAGATGACGTAACATTACATTATATGGAAAACCCTGAAGACTCCGTTAGAAAACTGTTAGAACTAATAAATGAACTCAATAAGGTTGCAGAATATAAAATCAATACACAAAAATCGACTGCATTTCTATATACTAATAATGAAACAGAAAAAGAAAACAATCCCATGTACAACTGTATCAAAAAGAATAAAATATCAAGAAATAATTTTAACCAAGGAAGTAAAAGACCTGTAGAAGAAGAAGGTCTGGAAGAAGACGACAAAAATAAATGGAAGGATAGTCCATGCTCACAGACTGGAAGAGTGTAAGAATCAATGTTGTTAAAATGTCCCAACTACCCAAAGCAATTTACAGATTCAACGCAATCCCCCACAAAATTCCAACGTCATTTTTCAAAAAAAAAAAAAAGAATAATCCTAAAATTTGTAATCCACAAAGAAACCCAAATAGCAAAAGCAATCTTGAGAAAGAAGAACAAAGATGGAGGCATCATGCTCCCTGGTATCTAACTATACTACAAAGCTATAGCAATTAAAACAGTATGGTACTGACATAAAAAAAGGCACATAGATCAATGGAACGGAACAGAGAGCCCAGAAATAAATCTATGCGTATATGGTCAACTAATTTATGACAAAGGAACGGAGAATATACAATGGAGAAAGGACAGTCTCTTCAATAAATGGTGTTGGGAAAACTAGACAGCCACATACCAAAGAATGAGACTCAACCACACTATCTTACACCAAACACAAAAATTAACTCAAAATGGATTAAAGACTTGAATGTAAGACCTGAAACCATAAAACTCCTAGAAGAAAACATAGGCAGTAATAAGCTCCTTGACATAGGTCTTGGTGATGATTTTTTGAATCTGACACCAAAGCAAAAGCAACAAAAGCAAAAATAAATAAATGGGATGACAACATACTAAAAAGCTACTGCCCAGTAAAGGAAACCATCAACAAAATGAAAAGGCAACTTACTGAATGGGAGAAAATATTTGTCAATCATATTATCTGATAACAGGCTAATATCCAAAATATATAAAGAACTGATAAAACTCAACAGCAAAAATCCAAACAATCTGATTGAAAAATGGGCAGAAGATCTGACTAGACATGTTTCCAAAGAAGACATACAGATGGCCAACAGGTACAGGAAAAGAAGCTCAACATCATGAACCATCAGGGAAATTCAAATCAAAACCACAACGAGATATCACTTCACACCCATGAGAATGGCTATTATCAAAAAGACAACAAATAGCAAGTGTTGGTGAGGATGTGGAAAAAAGGGAACCCTCATGCACTGCTTGGTGGGAATATAAATTAGTGCAGCCACTATGGAAAACAGTATGGAGGAGGTTCTTCAAAAAATTAAAAACAGAACTACCATATGATCCTGCAATTCCACTTCTGGGTATTTATATGAAGAAAACAACAACAGTATCTTGAAAAGATATATGTACCCCCATGTTCATTCACTTCAGCATTATTTACAATAGCCAAAATATGGAAACAACCCAAGTAAGTGCCCACTGATGGATGAATGGATAAACAAAATAATCCAAAATCCATAAACAATCTGGCCAATGCTCATTTCTCCAAACTTTTCCTCTAGCCATCCTTCCTCTTGCTGCCTAAGTTCCTACTACACAGGATCTTCCTTCTATTCCTCTACCTAGTCAACATCTTTCAGAAGCCTCAGGGTGTTTGTACTTACTGTTCCTTCTGCCTAGAATGCTCTGATTTCTAATTTCTGCTTGGATGATTCTTTCTCATCATTTCAGTTCCAGAGTCTTCCCTCACCACTCTGGCTAATGCTCCCCCAATTTCTGTGGCAGAGGTTCCAAATTGTCCTCAAAAAACATACTCTTCTTCCTGAGCATAAGGCTGCACTACGCTTACTCCCCAGCCTCCCCTGTACTTAGACATGGCCATATGACTGTTTTAGTCAATGGAATATGAATGAAGGTTCCTATGTTACAGCCAGATCTGTCCCACAAAATACATCCCAAGTCCTTCTGCCTGCCAGATGCAGCAGACAACTAGGCCCTTGGGGATGGGGCAGTCATAAGATGGTAGGAACCCAGGATGTGGGAGAGAGCCACGCCACTAACCTGAATACCCACTCTGGACTATTACATAAAAAAGAAACTTCACATTTTTTAAGCTACCATATTTTGGGGGGTCGCCCTGTTATCAGTTCGGCCTATCTGAATTAATACCTCCCACCCAACAAATCACTACTCTCTATTACATTATCCTGTCTTATTTTCTTTTTAACAGTTAATAGTACTTGCAATTTCTATTCATTTGATTCGTTTTATTTATTTTCTGTGTCACGGTAAGCTCTAGGAAGGCAAAGCCTGTGTCTTTATCACCAGTGGCTAGCACAGATCATTAAGACCACTCAACAAAGGTGGTCTCAGAATCAAAATTCAAGAAAAACTATTGAAAATAATCCAGTAGAAAAATAGGCGGAAAGTTCTGAGAACATATTAATGGTTCTTAAACTATGAAGCTACTTAAATTCATGGAAAGAAGAAATAAGTGAAATGCAACTATACTCTGTCCAATACCAGGTTTTTCAGTTCAGACTGATCCAAAGGTGATCACACTGACTGCTTCTCCAAACTCTGTTAGTGGGAGGCTAAACTGGTAAAACTATATGGAGAGCAATCTGGCAACAGCTATCAAAATGACAAACCACGTTACTCTTTGACCCAGCAATTTCACATCCAGGAACTCATATCACATATAAACTGCATGTGTGTGGATGATTTATATGTAGGGTTATTTATTACAGCATTATTTGCAGTAGTAAAAAAGATTGGAAATAAGCTAAATGTCCATTAATAGGGAACTACTGCAATGACTTGGAATATCTAAACAATGGAATACTGTGTGACTGTTAAAAACACAACAAAAAGAATGAAAAAGCTCCCTATATGATACAGAAAGAGCTCCATAATATACATTTTAAAATATATGTAGGGCTTCCCTGGTGGCGCAGTGGTTGACAGTCTGCTTGCCAATGCAGGGGATGCAGGTTCGTGCCCCGGTCCGGGAAGATCCCACATGCCGCAGAGCGGCTGGGCCCGTGAGCCATGGCCGCTGAGCCTGCGTGTCCGGAGCCTGTGCTCCGCAACGGGAGAGGCCACAACAGTGAGAGGCCCGCGTACGGCAAAAATAAATAAATAAATAAATAAAAATATATGTAAAACATGTTAAAATAAAAAAAACAAGATGTGTGCACGGTATGCTACCATTTGTGTACAAAGGTTAGGTGAAGGATATACATTTGTATTTGCTTGCATATGTATAAAACATCGCAGAAAGACTACATAAAACTAATAACATTAATTTAGAAACTGGGAGAAAGGGATGGAAGAAGGAAGGTCGTTCTAAAGAATTAGGGAAAGCCTCTGGCCGTGATATTTGAGACCTGAAGGATATATAGTAGTCACCAAAGCAAAGACAGAGGAAAAGCTTATTCCAGGCTGAGCACGGTCAATGTGAGAAATGTGAAAGGGAACATGGTATACAGTCTGAAAAATGAAAAAAAAAAAAATTCCAGGAAGACCAGAATGAATGAAGAGGAGGAAGGATGCCTGGGTAGGAGCCAGATGACAGAAATCACTGAATCCTGTGTAAGAAGTCGCAATTTTTTTTTTAAGTACAAGAGAAAGCCAGAAACTGGCTGAAAGCAAGGGAAAGAGCTGGATCAGACTGCTCTACTGAACATTCACTAGGCTGCAGAGAAGAGAACAGAGGCGAACTGGTGAATGAAACTGGACGCTGGAAGTCCGGTTGGAATAATCTTTACAGCAAGATAAGCTAGAGATGATTGTACCAAGCGGGTGAAGTAGAGAGAACAGACACATATGTAGGATATTCAGAATCCATACTATTTACCATTGGATTCAAGGTGGGGGGTGAGGGAGAGAGGAGTCAAGAATGAACTCCCCAGGTGCCAGGTGTACGACCTGAGCAAATGGGTAAATTCAGGGCCACTTGTATTGATACAGATAAAAGGAGATGAGCTTTGGCGGAGGAGAAAATGATGACATCAGTTTATAGGATGCATTTGCAGTGTTATGCTGTAGGGACTTCCAAAACGGTATTTATAGTAAATGATTAGAAATAAAGGTGTGGGGCTCAGGAGTGAAGTCTAGATCAGAAATAAAGACATAAAGTGACCGACATCGAGATGGTAGCTGCAGTCATTGGTAAGAGCAGGTGAGGTCACCAGGAAGTGTTTAAGGTGAGAGACAGGACACAGACCACCCACGTTTACGTGGCCGCGGGGGAGCAGAGAATCCGAAAAGGAGACAGTGAAGGAAGGAGGTGGGCTGGGATGAGGGCCATCCTGTCCGGGAAGGCAGAGGAGAGTGCTACAAAAAGCATGGAGAGGGGCTTCCCTGGTGGCACAGTGGTTGAGAGTCCCCCTGCCGATGCAGGGGACGCGGGTTCGTGCCCCAGTCCGGGAAGATCCCACATGCCGCGGAGCGGCTGGGCCCGTGAGCCATGGCCGCTAAGCCTGCGCGTCCGGACCTTGTGCTCCGCAACGGGAGAGGCCACAGCAATGAGAGGCCCGCGTACCGCAAAAAAAAAAAAAAGCACAGAGAGGCCAGGGCTGTGTCAACGTGAGTGAGGACCAGAGAGTGACAAGTGACTGAGTGTCTGCCGGGCTCCTCAGTAATGACCACTGTGACTCCACAGGAACAGTTTCCTGAGTTGGGAAGCAGCCCAACTGGAGCAGCTGAAGACTTCTTAAAGGGTGGAGTAATAGTAGAAGAAATGTGGGGCGAGGAAGACAAGGGCCAGGGAAAGGTTTTGCTTCAGATGGGAGAGAGCTGGGGATGATCAGGTGCTGACGGGAAGAAGGCGAGCAGAGGACACAGGGGCCAGTGGCTGAGCAGGGCCAAGTCCTGTGCAGGTGGGAGGAGAGGGGCAGGGCCCGAGGTGGCTGACCCCAGGCAGGAGCTGCTGCCCCTGCCGACAAGGGGCCGGAGAAAGGGGACAAGCACACATGGTGGTGGGGCGAGGTGGCTGGTGACACGCAGTGAAGCGCTCCTTTCTGAGGACTGTTCCTTACACAGTGAGGAGTGAGGGAGAGCAGAGAAGGGGAGGCAAAGGTTTCTAGCAAGAGTAGGAGAGTCTGAAGCAATTATTAAAGAGAATGGGAGCACGATGAGATGACCTGAGAAACATGCAAGCTTGCCCAAGTAGATGCTGGTGACTACGAATTAACAGGGGTAACAATGCATCTACAGATATGCCTTTCTCCACCAGCACTCAGCTGCCCCAGTCCCAAGAATGGGCAGTGATATTCATCAACTTCCATTTTATTTCTCATTAGATAATATACTTGCCTCTCACTGTAAACATCATAATGCAGTACTCAGTATGAATTAACTTATTATTTTACAAAGAGTATTTAATAAATATTCTACTATCATCTGCTTCACCCCTTAAAAAAATTTACTTAATTAGATCCTCTTCAACAAAAAACCTTCAAAACAAAAAATGGAGGTGAAAATCAAACCACAAACTGATTCAGATTCTAGGACTGTCAGTGATAGCAGATCACAAGAGGCAGTGGAGTGCAGTAATTAAGATCATGCACCTCGGAAAGTTCCCTAAACCTTGAAGTCACAGTTCCCAAAGTAAAATGAAAATCCAAACAGGGCAATGCTCAAAATGCTGCCGGAGTAAACAAGATAAACAAACACCTGGAGCAGCTGCTGGTACGCACTCAATAAACGGGAGCTACTTCTAAACACGGAGGGAAAATGCTGCAAGGATGTGTAAGTTAGAATTCCTTACAACCAAGGAAGATATGAACCTTTTAGAGTAAATGACGTTATCATTCTAAAACCACTTGGCATCCAACACTGGTACGCCTGGGCACAGTGGAGGGCGTGAATGAAGGGCTGTGTGACTGCTCACCTGGGGACTGTGTGTCTCACAGTCCATGGCCTGGACAGCAGCTGTGAAGTGCCCGCCGCTGTGCCGATGCTGGTGCGTTGGGTCCGACCTGGCTCTCCCACTGTTGCTAGTCCCCGATGACCCACCTGAAGCATCACAACACGGTACAGCTTGTGAGTGTAAAGTTAATTCTGTTCAAGTATATATCCTAAAACTATAACATTAAAACGGGAAGTGAGTCACCAAAAAAAAATCTGTATTAACCTGAAGTATACCAGGAAGGCTTCCAATTCTCTATGTTCTTTCACATCAACCACTGAACTAAAATATGACCAAGTTTGGTTAAGTCAGGGGAAAACTCAAGCATGTGAACCAAGTATTTCCATTTTAAAAACAATTTTAAAATTTGGCTAATAAGGAGTATTGTTTCCAAGCAGGATTTATTATACGCATAATTAAGTATTAGAGCTTTGGGGGAGGTGAATTTTTTTACTAGCCACAAAGAACAGGTTCGGGAAAAATAATTCCTCCCACCCATTAACAAACTTTAAAAAACTTTAAAATAACCCCCACTTTGTGAAGAAAAGAGGAAACATTTCAAAGCCTAATATAATATCAAAAGAACAGACCTGAGCTTGAAGATGTACTGGAGGTGGTGCCCGAAGACTGTGACTGCTCCATGGCAGGACTCGTGGATACACTATTACTTGTGTTTGTACCTTCATCAGCTGTTTTCTTGAAAAAACTGTGCTGCAGGGCATAGTAAGGTTGAATTCGAGTTTTGGGGTCATAATCAAGCATCCTTAAAATGAGGTCTTTGAACTTCAAGTAGTCAGCTACTGTATGACCCGATTCCCCAGCACGACGCCCACCAGGTCCTCCTGTTTCTACTCCGAGAATATTATGAAGTTTGCGGGTTCCTGGTGGTTTATACTCCTAAAGAGAAAAAAGATAAAAAGGCTTTCTCTAAATCTGATGGAATATGTAAAAGCCTACGTAATGTCAAATATGCTTACATGTATGATAATGTTGAGGCCTTTATTAAAAAGAATGCTTTATAGTTAGAGCCTCTATATTTTCACACTAATGTGAAATATTCACAATACTATTCACATACTATTCCGATTAAAATACTATTCACAATACTATTCACATACTATTCCGAACACACTGTACTTAGGAGAAATTCACTTTTGAGACCAGAAATGACTATAAAGATCATCTAGCCCAGAGATCAGCAGACTATGGCCTGGCTCAGAGCCTGTTCTTATATAGCCTCCACTATGAATTGTTTTCATATTTTTAAAGATTGTAAAAACAAACAAAACCAAGTAAGAATACTCAACAGAAGCCCACAAAGCCGAAACCTTTACTATGGGGTCCTTTACAAAGGAAGTGTGCCAACCAGTGGTTGTGAACCTCTTTTCTGCCCAATACACCTGTGAACTCAGGGGCACTTACTCAGTAACAGTGGCTCATTAAAGTTTTAAAGATCACTCCTAATAAAGAATCATGGGTCTAACCCTACCTGCTCATATGCAGATAAAAGAATCAGAAGTAAATTATTTATGCCTCATTTTATTGATAGAAAATATGGTTAATAATAAATTGCCTTAACATGTGCTGAGATTTTCTGGGAACTCATTTTAACAGATAACAGTATAACCTTTAAAATCCCTATGAATACTGAATTTATTCAGAATAGTATCATTGGATTTTTGCTTCTAGGTACAATGTAGAAATTCGCAAGAGACCATCACTCTTACTCTAAAATCAAGAACAAGCCAGGCAGGCACACAACAAAATCACTGCTTTTTAAAGACCTATCAGAGAGCTGAGGACTAAAGAAACCAGATTAACTAAATTCTAGAAAATGAAGAGTCTTTCCTAGGAAAGAAGAGACTTATGGTGGGAGAGGGAGCAAATGCCACAGATGTGACTAAGAAGAGTCCAGCCCAACTCCCAACCAACTTCTAACAGCCACGTGTGGCTGGGCCACAGGACGGGACAGGCAGATGACCCAGGGAGGGTCCCCCAGGGCGCTGCAGAGCTGGGTCCAGAGCAGCATTATGGACACAGATCACCCCGAGGCACCAAGAGTTAGCAGCGGGTTGCTGGCTGGGCAACAATGCATAAAAGATCTCTGCAGTTTCCAAACACCGCTTAAAACCTATGAAGACAGTGGAGAATAGAATCTAAGTCAAGCAAACAAACAAAACACAGCCCAGATTCAGCTAAACTACAAATGAAACTGACTCAGTCTCATCACACTAGCAGCCTGACAGAGTAAGCAGCATGCCTCTTTCTAAAGGGAAATAAGATTTACTTCCATCTCAACTGTTCTTAAATACAGCAAGTCCAACATACATATAAAAAATTATAGACACATGAAACAAACAAACAAAAAAGGTCCATAATCAAGTGAAAAAAATAGTAGAAAACTCACATATATAAATGACCCAAATGTTGAAACTGACAGACAGGTATTTTAAAATAACTATGGGGCTTCCCTGGTAGCGCAGTGGTTAAGAAACCGCCTGCCAACGCAGGGGACATGGGTTCGGGCCCTGGTCCAGGACGATCCCACATGCCACAGAGCAACTAAGCCCGTGCGCCACAACTACTGAGCCTGTGCTCTAGAGCCCATGAGCCACAACTACTGAGCCCATGTGCCACAGCTACTGAAGCCTGTGTGCCTAGAGCCTGTGCTCCGCAACAAGAGAAGCCACTGCAACGAGAAACCCGCACACCATGACAAGGAGTAGCTCCCGCTTGCCACGACCAGAGAAAGCCTGCACGCAGCAACAAAGACCCAACGCAGTCAAAATAAATTAATTTTTTTAAAATAACTATGATAAAAAGAATTTACTTCAAAAGTTAGGTAACGTGTGGATAGACTGGGGGGGTGTTATTTAAAACTAGTTTTTTTTCTTTTCTTTTTTTTTTTGCGGTATGCGGGCCTCTCACTGTTGTGGCCTCTCGCATTGCGAAGCACAGACTCCAGATGCACAGGCTCAGCGGCCATGGCTCACGGGCCCCGCCGCTCCGCACACGTGGGATCTTCCCGGACCGGGGCACGAACCCGTGTCCCCTGCATCGGCAGGCGGACTCTCAACCACTGCGCCACCAGGGAAGCCCAAAAGTATTTTTTTTTAAAAAAAGATCAATTAAGTGAAAACACTAGAACTAAAAGAAATGCAGAGAATCCATTTAATGGTTTTAACAGCAGACTGGGCTCAAGAGAAGAAAAGCAATCAGTGAACTAGAAAGACAGAGCAAAGAAATTATCTAAACTAACACACAAAAAGAAAACAAAATGAATAAACCAAAGACCTCTAATAGTAAGCACTATAACATATATTTAATTGAATAATTAGCAGGAGAAGAGAGAGTGAAGCAGAACAAATATTTAAAAGGATGATGTCTGAGCACTTTCAAAAACTGATGAAAGAGATTAATCCACAGATCTAACAAACTCAGCAAACTCTATGGAGAATAAATACAAGGAAAACTATACATAAGAACCTAATAGTCAAACTGCTGAAAAATCAAACATAAAAAAAAAGCAAAAAAAAAAGAGGTTGAACAAAAAGATCTACAAAATTCATACCAGCTTTTATATGTCATGTTTGAGCATGTCACCCAAATTGCTTGCTTCTTTTCTCTTCCACAGAAGATCCCTGTGCTAAAGGCATTTTCCTTCTTTGTTATATCCCCAAGTTCTCTTTCTCAGCGTGAGAGCGTGCTAAGCGCAGCTTGAGAAGACCTGAGCTTCCTTTCTAGCCCTACCATTCCTTGTTGTGGTCGCCAAAGAATTTATTTAACACTCTTGAATCTCAGTTTTCTGATGTGTAAAAATGGAACTGAGAATATCTATTATTACTATCTATCGTCATCTTATTGTGAGAATCAAATAAAAACATCTTAAGTTATAATAATAAAAAAAAAGCATCAAAATCAGCCAGGGGGAAGACAGAGAAATATTTCATAAAGAAAACAATGCTTAGAAAAACCATTGACTTTTCTTCAGAAACAATGTAATACAGAAAACAATGTCATTAATATATTTAAACAACTAAATTTGTTTAGGTTTAGGTAAACCTAAAATTCTGTATCAATTTGTAATTTCCATATCCATGGAAAATATCTTCCCAAAAACGAAGGTGAATAAAGGTATTTTCAGATAAGCAACTGCTGAGAGAATTCATCAGCAGAAGTTATTCACTATAAAGTAAAAAGTTAAAGGAAGTTCTTCAAGCTGAAGGAACATAATACAAGATTGAAGTCAGGAACTGCAAAAAGAAATGAAAAATTCTATGGGTAAAAAGAAAAGAACTTTTTTTTTCTTTGGGGCTTGCAGGATCTTAGTTCCCCAACCAGGGACTGAACTCGGGGCCGCAGTAGTGAAAGCTCCAAGTCCTAACCACTGGACCACCAGGGAATTCCCAAAAAGAACTTTTTATTTTATTTTTTATGTACTTTTAAATCTCTTTAAAAAATCATTTTTAATTTAAGTAGTCAATGTTTGTGAGGGTTATAACGTATGTGTAAGTGATATATGATGACAAGAGACAGGAGGACTTAGATAAAAGCACGTGGTTATCACACGGTTTATAAAGTGATATAACATTTTGTTAAGTTCAACTGGTAAGTTAAAGATGCATACAGTAAAAGCAACACTAAAAATTACATACCGAAGAACAGCTAAACAGTCACTTAAGAAAAGGTGAAATAAAATACCAAAAAGTACTCAACTCAAAAGAAGGCAGTAAAGAAGGAACAGGGAACAAAGGACAGATAAAACAAATAGAATACAAATAAGGCAAAAGTCTAAAACCCAAACCCCTGAATAATTAAATAGGTTAAATATTCATTGTGAAAGGAAGATACTATTTGACTAGATTAAAAAGGATGACTCAACTACATTTTGTATACAGAAGTCATACTTCACATACAAAAGTATGAACAGGTTTACTACAGTAAAAGGGTAAAAAAACCACTATAAAAATGTTAAGAATTAAAAAGCTGGTATAGCTAGAGTAATATTAGACAAAGTAGACTCAAAGACAAAAATATTATTAGAGATAAAGAGGAATATTTCATGGTAATGAAAGACTGAATTTATCACCAAGTCCTAAAAATACTAAACAAGTATACCTATTAAGAGAGCTTCAAAAAACATAAAGCAACTGAAGGAGATGAAGACAAATCCAGTATCATCACTAAAAATGAACACTCCTCTCAGTTATTGATAAAACAAATATACACAGACAGACACAAAGTAAGGATGTAAAGATTCTCGAAGAAAGATAAGGCCAACAGGCCCATGAAAAGATGCTCAACATCGCTGATTATTAGAGAAACGCAAATCAAAACTACAATGAGGTATCACCTCACACCAGTCAGAATGGCCATTATGGAAAAGTCTATAAATAATAAATGCTGGAGAGGGTGTGGTGAAAAGGGAACCCTCCTGCACTGTTGGTGGGAATGTAAATCGGTACAACCACTATGGAGAACAGTATGGAGGTTTCTTAAAAACTAAAAATAGAGTTACCATATGATCCTGCAATCTGACTCCTGGACATATATCCAGAGAAAACTAATTCGGAAAGATACAAGCACCCCGATGTTCACTGCAGGACTATTTATTGGGTTGGCCAAAAAGTTCGTTCGCGTTTTCCCGTAACATCTTGCAGAAAAACCCGAACTTTTTGGCCAACCCAATACAATAGCCAAGACATGGAAGCAACCTAAATGTCCATCGACAGATGAGTGGATAAAGAAGATGTGGGGTGTATGTGTATATATATAGCGAAATATTACTCAGCCATAGAAAAGAATGAAATAATGCCATCTGCAGCAACATGGATGGACCTAGAGATTATCATACTAAGTGAAATAAGCCAGACAAAGAAAAATAGATCACTTATATGTGGAATCTAAAAAAAAAAAAAGGAAAAGAAAAGAAAGATGCAAATGAACTGACTTTCAGAACAGAAACAGACCTACAGACATAGAAAACAAATTTATGGTTACCAAAGGGGAAAGGGATGGGAGGGATAAATTAGGAGTTTGGGATTAACATATACACACTAGTATATATAAAACAGATAACCAACAGGGACATACTAGATATTTTGCAATAACCTAGAAGGGAAAAGAATCTGAAAAAGAATATATATATGTATGTGTAACTGAATTACTATGCTGTACATCTGAAACTAATACAACATTGTAAATCAACTACATATACTTCAATTTAAAAAAAACTTTTAAAGGAGAGTATCTTCATAAACTTGAGGAAGGTAAAGATTTCTTAGAATACAAAAAACACTATTCATTAAAAAAAAGAGATTAAATTTCCTGCTCATTAAAAACTACTACTAAGGAAAGAAACAGGCGAGGTGCAGTCTGAGAATACTGACAACATATATGTGACAAAGGACTTATATCCATTACATGTTAAAAAAAAAGGAACTCCTACAGCTCAACAATTAAACATCCCAATAACAAACAGGCAAAAGACTGGAAAGACTATCACAAAAAAGAAGATACACGAATGGCTAATGAGCACATGAAAAGGTGGTCACTATCATCAGTCATGGGGAAACGCAAATGAAAACCACTATATATACCCATTAGAATGGCTAAAATCAAGAAGACCAACCCCATCAAATGGTGAGGATGTCATGCAACTGCAACTCTCATACCTGTGGGGATGCAAAATGATAAAACTGTGGGAAACTGTTTGCTCTTTTCTTATGAAGGTAAACACACATACACCCTATGATCTGGTAATTCTACTTCTAAGTAGTGAACCCAGAGAAATGAAAATTTAAGTGTACAAAAGTTGATACAAGAATGTTCCCAGTAGCCTTATTCATAATAGTCCTAAACTGGAAACAACCCAAACATCCACTGACAGGTAAATATAAATACAGTATTTCCATTCAATGAAATACTATGAAGCAATAAGATGGAGTAACTTCTGAGACACAATATGGATGAATCTCCAAAAACAATGTCTGTTAAGTGAAAGAAACAAAGTAATAAATACTATACAGATCCCATTTACATGAATTTTTCCTATGAATAGTCAAAACTAACCTATGATGACAGAAATCAGAAACTGAGGGTGAGATGACAGAAAAGGATATAAGAGGTGGTGGAAGTACTTACTCTATGCCTTGTTTTAGGTAGTGGATACATACTGTTGTATTTAAAAGTTAAAAAGTTAGAACACTTAAGATACTCATCTTACTGTGTATAAATTATACTTCAACAAAACGGTATCGTTTATACTCTTAATTCTTCATCCCCCTTCCCCACCAAAGGAAAAAAATAGATAGTAGGTATGGATTTCATTACTAGGAAGCTAAAATGGGCCCTTGAAACATAAAATGAGAAATTAAAAATAAAATCACTAAGGAAATAAAGCAAACAAATATACCCAATGATGGTGCATGCACACCTGTTTATACTTACGGTTAAAATCCCTAGTGCATCGTTACAATGTAACCATTTGGTTATGGATTTGATTTTTTTGTTGCTGAAAATTTATTTCTATTCAAAGAGAAGTAATTATCTTACACTTTAAAAAATAAAGTTTCTTAAGTCAGCTGCTTAATTGCAGCTAAAGAAAACCTCAAATAATCTATGGTTAATTAATATGTATTAAATGTGGGTCAAGATACTCACTTTCAATTTTAAGGGAAAAGATTTAACTACTCTTTTCTGAAATGTCCCCCCTAAACAATTTAAAATAATTATACCTGAATTTTGGAGAAATGATAGGTTACAACTCATTGTGACTTAACTGTGGTTTTATAAGGCAGAGATTAGGGAAATGGAATGAGATGAATGTTTCATTTAGAAAAAGGAAAAAAAACAGCAGCAGCAGAAGAAAAAAAAAATTCAAAGTGGAAAAAGAAGTGGTAGCCTGTACTGCAGAGAGATAAAAACATAAAGAAGGCTTCACATCCTCCATGCTAATTAAAATCAACTGGTAGGAGCAACCTTGAATGCTGCAGAAGCTAAGGACTCCTAGGCTGTGTTTTGGTTGAATGGGAAAAGGCGCCATGACTGATAAAGCTATGTGGACAAAGGCAAAAGGATTCAGGATGTCTGCTTGGTATTTTCCATCCCTTCCTTATGGGGAGTAGGCATAATTTAGCTGCCAGATATTACAATGCCTGGAACTTCAGAGAATAAGGCAAAATGCAGTAAGTTACAAATCAGTTGTGAAAGATAGTTATATATATGTATTATTTTTTTTAATATTCTTAAAAAAAACCCCATTTGATATTAAAAGTTAAGACTCCATAGCTGAAGGTGAATTACAGCACATAAGCATCATCTTCAATTCACTGGAAATGACACCTGGTGGCAGCATCGCTAAAACGCAAGGGCAAAATAAAAAGTGTAGCAAAAATAAAATCTAAGTGTTGAAAACGCAAAAACTACAATCACAAGGTGTCTGGTATATGTATCACATACAATCACAGATTTATAGATTATTTTCATCTTATACTAGAAACAAGCTAGATTACAAAACATATGTTTATTTTCAGATATATAAAACAAAGATGTAAATCAAGATGCAAAACTGTTATCATTTACTCTATTAAACTGACACAGTTTAGGTCTCTGAAAAAAGTTCTCAGATAGAAGAAAATTACTAAAACGTACCTAACGTGTTTAAAAACCTCACTTAAATTTTAAAGATTTTGGAGATGTGAAACTCCTGTTACCCAAGCTACGAATCTGAAATCTATCAAAAGGACCATTTAGTCAGTTCATATTCTTGTCACAAACTGCTTAAGAATCCTTTTCTCTCATCTGAACTTTAAAAAAAAAAAAAAAAAAAAAAGCCATTTACTGCAATTATGACTTCCACTGTTCACAGCTGCAGTATTGTTAACTGTGACTTCACTACGTACTCAAACTATGAGAAACAAAGGTCAAACTTACTAATTCTACTGTGGAAACAAGGCATGGTGATTTGATCAGCTACCTCAAAAGGCAGACATACAGTTTCAAAATGAAGCCTTAAAGAGCACTAAGCAAACACTGGTCCATACAGATAGTTCAGGTCAAACTCTATAACCAACTTATGAAGAAAATATACATACCTAAGTTATCAGTGGAACTACTGTTAATAACTGACTTCAGCAACACTGATTTCAAGTAAATACAAAATGCGCTATATAAAGACAGCTCAGTAAAAGAAATAACAAAGGCTCAAAAAAATTATTTCCCTATTTTACCCGTTTTCCATCTTTGGTCTTCTTTAAGTTCCAAGTGCCATCTGGCAACTTCTCAAAGAACTTTCTTGCTTTTGGTGCTTGGTCAAGAATATGAGCAGGTGGAATACCCAGAACTTCCACTATTTTATTCATCTGATCTACCTGTATTAAAAATAAAAACAAAACACCTGTAATTTCTACTGTAGGACATCCTATCTGTGCTCATCCATCCATTCATTCATTCATAAATTAGAAATAAATAAATCGAGCATCTCCTGTGTGCGGGGCACTCCTCGGGGCAGTAAGCATAGAATAATGAACAAAAGAGATAAAGTCCCTGCTCTCCTTGAGCCCCACACTCCACAGAGGGGAGGGCACACAATGAAGCAAACACGTACATCCATGGGATGGCAGGTGGTCACGGATACAATGGAGAGTAAGGAAATGACTGGAGGGAGTTTTAAAGTTTAAGTTTTGGGAGAATTTTAGTTAAATAATCACACAGAGAAAAAAAAAACCCAAAGGCTTAAAAGTGTGGACCCAATAAAAGTATTTTTTTTAAGTGCAGATTAATTCACTCAAATACTGAGCGTCTACTATATGCTGGAAACCATGCGCACTAGAACACAGCAATAAACAAAACAAAAATCCCTGCCCCAAAGTTTGTGTTGTAGAGGAAGAGATCACCAAGAAGCAAATACATAATAAGCAAATACATATCAGGCGACCACTAAGAACCATGGAGAAAATTAAAAGGGGATGGAGAGTGAGAAGGGCACTGCAACTTAAAATAGGGTGTCACGAAAGGCTTCCCCGAGAAGGTGACGTGAGAGCAAAAACATGAAGGCCGCAAGGGCAGGAGCAAGAGCACTCCAGGCACGGAGCAAAGAATGAACGTAAGGGCCCTGGTACAAGCCTGTGGTTCGTTCGTAGGGACCTGAGAGAGAGCTGTGTGTGCTGGGCCGCGAGACAGCAGGGGCGGGGCGGGGCGGGGCAGGACAGCAGGGAGAGGTGGAGAGAGAACAGGAGACAGAGGGAGTAAGGGATTTTCAAGCTACTCAAAAGGACTGGCTTTCACCATGAGTGAGATGGAAGCCACTGAAGTTTCAGATGCTCCTAATATTGTTTAAGCCCATGAAAAAGGTACTATTACCTTTATATTATTTATTATTAAAAGAAAACCAAAGACACACTTATGGCAGCTCTGCCAAAAAGTAGCTCACTGGCTAGAGTGAAGTGAATTAAAAGGAAGGAGGAAGGGACACGTTTCTGGCACTATTTACTGACAGTTGTATAACCCAGTTCAAGTCATGAAATTTCATTAGTCTTTCTTTTCTCACATATAAATGAATGGACTGTTCACAATCTGCAATGGTTAACTTTTCTTTAAAAAACAAAACACAACAGGATCCCACAAGCAAACAGTTTTAAAACCAATGAAAGCCCATTCTTCTGACTGTAAGGGAGCTTGGCCTCCCTCTCCCTTGCCCTCCCTCCTCCCAGGCACTGCCTCTGACCTTCAAAAATCTTCTAAGAACACAGAATAAACACCTGTGGACTCGCTCTGAAATTCTATAGTCCTAATTTACCCTGAATTATTCAGATCAAATATTCATCAACAACTACTAGTCATCATTTACTTTAATTTCAAATCATACTCTCAAAATTTACAGTCACGTTTACACTGTTTTTAGGGTGGTCCTCATTTCTTCATTATCATCTTTTTCTGTTCTTATACTTAAAATCTGTAAAATTTATACCAAAATACTTAACATTTTCTAATCTAATTTATTGCTCTCCTCCACTGGCAGATTGAAAGATCTCGCTTCCCGTCTCACAATTCTAAACTCACCGTTACATAATTGACAAAAAATTTTAAATGGATAAAATAAGTTCAAAACTGACCTAACACTTGAATGATAAAAGTTGGTAAATAGACATCTTTTCCTAAAAACAACTTTCAGATTATACTGTCAGAGACTGAAAACAAAAACAGAATTTTTAAAGCAATCCATCATATACCTCATTGGCTCCACTGAACAGAGGTTCTCCAGTGTGCATTTCAACCAAAATACACCCAAGGGACCACATGTCGATAGCAAGGTCATAAGGCATTCCCAGTAGCACCTCTGGAGACCGATAAAAGCGACTCTGAATATATTGGTATATCTGAAATATATTTCAAAATAGTATTAATTCCAAAACAAGTTTTGTTTAACTGTGGTCAACAATGAATTAAGAACACAAGTCTAATATTAACAGCAAAAAATAACTGGGTTATTAGAGTTCCATTTACTGATTTCAACATTAGACTATGAATACTGTTTAAAGAACTAAACGTTTCAAGGGAGTGGTAAATCTGTGAAATGAAAAATATATATATATAATTCAAGCCCTTTCATTTAGTTCAATCCTAACCGGTAACCAAGATATAGCTTAAACAATTATGCCTTATTAGAAGAAAATATTATTGAGAACAATTTATCTCCCTATTATTCTTTCCTGCTATGGCTGGTACTTGGTTTACCATTAATTTAACAGCTCAATTGTATCTAAATTAACCTGAAAGACTTTTTTCAGGTTAATTCAAAGCATTAAGAAAGACTCAAACTCAGTACAATGTAATTGAAATTTCAGACATCTGTACTGTACTAGTCTCACAGATAAATCTAGAAACACTGCCACATAAAGATTCAATTGGGAGTCGTTTCTGACTAATCACTTCTCTACCCTGTCCTCCTCCATCTCATTCTAAGACTTCTTAGAAAAAGAAATCTTGAAATGGATTATTTTCGATGAAGTAATCTGAGATGTCTTCAGAGACCAATTCATCTTCACCTGGCCATTTAAAATTTATATCTAGAAATACTACAAAAGCAAAGATAGTTTTACTAAAAAAGGGGAGAGAAACAAACAAAATCCTCCTACCCAAACTCCCTAACTTAACACTCAAACAAGGCAGCCAGCAGCATGGAGCCGCTTCTCACGAAAGCTTCTGTGACTTCCACAACTCCAGCCAAATCTGAGAACCATCCCATGCCTCCACTAGCAGGTCAGCTCAACCTTAAGGCCTGCTCAGAGTGAAGAAAGCCTAACTGAAAGGGACCAGGAAGAACTATTACATTTCCAAGTTTTTATAAGCCAATGGCATCGTGAAGCCCCAAAGACTCCCTACTACTGAGACTTATTTCCCAGCTTAGGAAAGGAAGTTTGTCACCTACCTATCCAGCTGCTTAAAGCAGTAGTCGGGTTATCTACAAGCCTGTGTGTGCCAGGATCGTCTGAGAAACTTCTTTTGAAACATACTTGCCCTGCCACCTTCTAACACTGAGCCAGCAGACCTAGAATAGGGCCACTGCATGTCTGTTTTGTAAATGACTTCCCATGGGATTCTGATACACTCACATAGTTAAAAAACTCACTGAGCTAGAGGTATAGCTGTTTCACTTTGGCTGGAGAGAGATAGTAGTGCTTGATATCATGGCGGCATATATGATTTGGTTTAAATAGGAAAAAATTTTACAAGTCTAAAATCTATTCAAATGACTCTCAAGATGGGCACATATTTTCCATTTACAATATACTTGATCCCTATTAACAACTATGAGCATCTTTTGATTTTCAGACGCATCCGAAACTGCAAACTTTGCTTCCTATTCCTTCCATTTTTAAAAAGTATTTCAATGTAGCATTGCTACCATAAGATAATTTTTAGAAAATAACAAAAAGACAATCTTGTTAACTGACCATAAACCTTCATGATTAAATTAACCTACTGTATTTAAAAGCTGGAATAAAGTTGGATAGGAAATTTCACTAATTTGGAAAAACAAGAAATGGAAAGCCAATATGAAATAGGAATATCTCCATGTTAGTTATGTTTTTACCTTTTTTTTTAAGAAATGCAGTTTCAATACTTACAAGTAAATAGGAACAACATTTTAAATGAATAAAGTATTATCAAATGGTGACCCTAGTTGGTTTCAAGAAGAGACCATCCTATAACTTCTATTTTATATGCAAAACACTGTTAGAGTAGCTTTCATAATGCTAGAAAGATCCGTAGGAAAAATTTGCTTTCCTAAAATCAGCTAAACCTAAATCTATTTACTGCTACGGACATGTCTGTTTTTAGCACTCTAAAGAAAACTAGTTCGGTGTCATAATTTATAAAACAAAAAAAAGATTTAAACTTATTTATCAAAACAAGTATGTCTATCAACCTAGTAATTTACACTGTATCACTGTGTGTAATGTAAAATTACCTGCATTTTTTTTTTACCCATCAGCTTTTGAGGAAAAACATTTATCTCGACCTATATTTAGAGAAATATTTTACAGCAAGGAGTCAATGTTCTATTATTGGAATTTCCCCAAATTTATACTAAGGACCTCTATTTGGGAAATATAGTTACAACAAATCACCTAATATTTAATATATCCATCCCCTCTTTTCTCTTAGACTTTTAGTATACACATAATTTTTTAAGTTAAACTTTAAAAAACTAATACCTTCTAATTCAAAGTTTACTATTTGCATTTTAAAAGGTATTTCCCAAAATAGGTATCAACACAAGGTGATTCAAGTGCTGCATTTTAAAGATAACCATCCTGTAATTACCTCCAAATTGTATACAGATTAGTAACATTTCAAGTATCTATATACAGTCTTTTAACCTAATTCTAATTTTAATTCACAAGTCCTGAAATATACTTACCCTCTGCCCCAGCTGACAAGAACTGCCAAAGTCAACAATCTTGATTGCACTGCGTTTGGGGTTACAAAGAAGGATATTCTCAGGTTTTAGGTCACAGTGAATGATACTAAGTTCTGGAGTCGCAAGGAAAAGCAGTGCAGTGCACATTTGCTGTGCAAACTTTCGTGTTAGGTTCAAAGAGACACCTCGAAAATTGGTGTTCCTCAACAAGTCATAGAGGTTGTAGGACAGCATTTCAAAAACTAAACAGAGGTGGTTTCGAAACATAAAGTGGCGTTTTAAATGCACTGAAAGAGAAAAAAGTTTCATTTTAAATTATACATACCAATAAAATGAGAATAACATGCACATGAACTCTCCAACAATCTGTAACATGACAATGTCAAATGCAGAGTGAAAATCAAGTTAAAATCTGGAGATCAGCATTCTGCACTAAACAGCACATTCTTTAATCAGTTAAGAATATCTAAATTGTTCATCTGCTGAATTAATATATTAGTGTATAGTGTCTGCCAATATGCAATATAATGCAAGAAGTACCACCAAAATGCCTTGCTTAAAAAAAAATTAAGTCAGGTATGAAAACGCAAGTAGCAAACTGACAAAGAGTACTGAGAATACTTTGATAATTTTATTGTCACTGGTAAGAGAAAACACGTTGTACTCCCTGAAAGCCCTACCTCACAACTTCATCTAAGCTCCATCCACTGGGATGTCCAGCTTGTGACGATGCTGTACTTGGCAGCCCTCTCTGGGAAGGCTTTGATACACATGCACAATCTGCTTTGCTGAGCCTTAGATTTCACTAGTGATTTTCTGAAACAATTGTCAAAGGAAGACAGGTTTTTTTTTCTTTTGGGCAAATACAGCAAAGGCTCGAAAATCACATTGCAAGGTACTAGAGTTCATAATCAAGGCATCTGATTATGTTCATCAAACTGGTACATAGGACATCCTGTCCAAGACTGAAGGTTTGGGAAAACTTCAAAATAAAGCTCAATCACAAGAAATTGTGAGTAGGCTTATGAATGGGGAAAGTCTAATAGAATACATTACTTGGTATCACTACTGATCCTCTAAAAAGGCTTAATCGTCGACAAACTGCTTCGAAAAGTTGTGCTTTAAGTATTAACACTGACTTCACATCAGATGAAGTCATTCAATAAAGTAAAGAACTGCCCTTCACTATAAAAATTCTTACACACACCAAACTGAGCACCTATAACTCAACTGGAACGACATAAAAACAACCATTTGTCAAGGCTACCTTCATTTTGGTCTTTTAGTATCATTTAAAACAGAGGTTTCTCTACAGATTTATCTGGAATAACTAGGACAGTATTCAATGTCTGGTCCCTGAGAAAGGGGATACATTGTGTTGTCCTGGTAGGAGCCCTGAACTGTCTCCCTGGAAGCACTGCATGTCAATATAGCTTTTAGATCATTCCTGATACACGTGATCTAAAATTAGGATAAATAACACAACTACTACATGGCTCTATAGGAGTCCATAGTACAACTCAACTCTCACCAACAGTTACATAAGAATGTATAACATCTGTTCTTAATCACTGAGTTCATAGGTTTAAAATTAAGAACATAGCTCCATGTGACATAAGACACCCCAGAGACATGGTCCAAACAAGAGTTCTGACCTGGTTAAGCAGCAGCCACAAAAGGAATGCAAAAGGTAACTGATGTCAGAATTCAAACGTGATTATGACAATCCCTCTAAGAAGCTGTGATTAGAATATTCTTCCAATGGAAGATCAATCCACTCAATTCCACTAATTCATCATTCATTTACTAAGTATCTATAATGTGCTGAGCACTAAAGACACTGTCAAAGAAAGCTCAAACACAAGGATATACATTAAGTTTTTTTAAACTGAACTTTGGGGAGAACAGACGGTTGGCAAGACTTTGTTCTACACTTAAACTGAATGTTCTTTTAACTAGACCGTGGCAGGTACCAAATAATCCAGATAAGAAATTATGCTATGTGGTAAAAAAAGTAAGAGTTTTTAGAAGTTCGAAGACTTAAAGACTATACAACTCATGAGACTAAATTATATTGATCAAATCACTTCAAAATTAAGTTATTTACGTTATAAAAGAGCAATACAACTTCCAGACACCTTGCATTTAATGTACCAACTCTACTGCCACGGCTGTGTCTAAATCTAGTTCTTCTCGCTTGTTTTCCAATTAGAAACTCAGTTTCTTAAGACACTGTGCATGAATTCACCTTCTTCCTAAGTAAGAACCTTTAAAAACAAAAAAAACTCATCCAAAAGAATATCTGTAATAACTGATGCAATTAATGATCATTAAAGTCAGTTTATTAGAAACAAAAATGACAGCCATTATTATAACATAACCAAGTAGCTAACATTTCGTGTTTTCTTTCAACAAGGCAGAAATAAATTGTAGTAGTAATGCTATCAACGTTTTCTCTACTACTTAAGCAAAAATTCAAAATAAAACAAGAGTGAGAAAGAAGAAAAAGGGAGGTATGTTTAGAGACTGTAAGTCTAAGGACTGCATCCTTAGAATGTCCTTCTTGGCCTCCTAAGCCCCTTGAACGGAAATGTGCTCACCTTACACTAAGTTGTAACTGAAAGTGAACAGCAAACATGCAGTAAGTGTGAAAAGACTTGAAATACAAATGTTATTACTGTGGGTTTTATCAGACATCTACAGAGAAGGCACTAAGGAAGAAAAATTAATAGTATAAGCTCATTTTATTGCAACAATGAGGAATGAAGGGTGTTTCATAAATGAAATTTAATCTGAATATGTGAACCTTACACCTTTAAACATCAGTTTTTTTGTTTCTGTTATTTTGGGGGGACTAAAGAACCATAATGCCCTCCCTTCATTTCTTTTTTTTTAAAAAATAAATTTATTTATTTTTGGCTGTGTTGGGTTCTTCGTTGCTGCACGCCGGATTTTTCTCTAGTTGTGGAGAGCAGGGGCCACCCTTTGTTGCGATGCATGGGCTTCTCATTACTGTGGCTTTCCTTGCTGCGGAGCACGGGCCCTAGGCACACATGCTTCAGCAGCTGCAGCATGCGGGCTCAGTAGTTGTGACTCACGGGCTCTAGAGCACAGGTTCAGTAGTTTTGGCGCACGGGCTTAGTTGCTCCGCGGCATGTGGGATCTTCCCGGACCAGGGCTTGAACCCGGGTCCCCTGCATCGGCAGGCGGATTCTCAACCACTGTGCCATCAGGGAAGCCCTCTCCTCATTTCTTAAAAAGGAGTTTGCTAATAAAACTTAACCTCATATGTTTTTCAGGTAAAGTTAGCATTTCTGAAGGTGAGCTGCTAATACATGCCTATAAAACAGTCTGTAATTAATTGACCCTAAGGTCTCTATCTTAAAATTGACATCATTTTGTGTTTACAGTTGGCAGCAATTTGTTTCTTGGTGGCACATAAAATTATGGTGTCTTAGATTTGATTAAGAATAGTATTAAAGAATGTATAATCAGAAGATGTTTTATCCATATATCAATTGGCCCTAGACTTAACTATTTTCATAATTCTTCTGTCTCCTCTTTTTGTATTCAGAAGAAACACCATACGACAATGAAATAAACACAAGCTCTGGAGTTAGGCAGAGGTAGGTTCAGACCCTAGCTCCAAGAGCCCTGGGACCTTGGGTATGTTACTCTTTGTACAAACTACCTGTAATATAAGGATTTACCACCTTCCTTTCAGGACTGCTATGGTTACAGATGATGGAAGAAAACCACAAGGAATATGGTAGTAGTTCAAGAAATGTTGGCTACTATTTCTTGAGGAAGAACCTGAGATCTTGGCTCAGACATTCCAAAAATGGTTCTGTAACCATTAACAACATATTAGCTCACTTCTAATTTCTGAGCTATATTAGAAATGGTTAAAGTTAACACAAAGTGGCCTCTCTATATAAACATGCACCATTAAAGCAAACAAATGACACTTGTAAGTTTGAAAAACAAAAAAAAACAACAAAAAAAGACACTATTCTCATTTGTTTTTATACTATATACCACCTAGAATGCACGTACCCGAAGATGTAAAATATTACTGCCAGATCAAGTAACGTGTATAAATCTATGCCCTCCAACAGAAATAACTGAATTTTTACCCAATCACTAAGATAAAATCAACATATATTCATACAAAAATAACTCAAATTTGTGGTCTGGGTTAGGGCGCACTGCTTTCTTTGCCTGTTTGTTTGTTTACCTATGTAGTATTTCATTTCAGTGTCATGTTTGTTCATGAGCTCAAGAAGTCGCACTTCTATCTGGGCTTGATTCAGAAAAGCCTTCTTGTTCTTTATTATTTTAATGGCGACCCATTCTTGCTCCACACGATCATACGCCTTTACAACCTAAGAGAGAAAAAAGACAGATGATACCTATTTCATTAATGAACAACTTAACAAGTTCACAGTTCAGCTTAATTGTACATTTATCTAATTCCCCTTTTTCTGACCTTCCTAATTAAAAGAGATCCTATTCGTTTCCATGCAACAGCATCCATTTACTATTTTATTGTCACTTTAAGTCATTTTTCAAATGGATTTCTTCTGCATCCTTACAGTATTTCTAAACATCCACAAAATAGATAACTTTCTTAAAATGAGATTAACTATTTTCCTCCTTCAGAAATAAATTATGAATCTTGACAAGTGCTTTGGGGTTTTTTACCTTTCTTACTAAATAACATTATAAAACAATTCTTCTAACTATTCTTTTAGTAAGAGAAAAACCTGGTTTAAATCCCAAGCATATGTGTGAGATACTTAAAAGGTTCTAAGTCATCTGAAAAATGTAGATAACTTTCTAAATGTGACTTAGATTTTCACAGATAAAAACTTAGGCATACCAGAAGAATTAGTTTACAGTTATTCAATTTAAAAAATATCAAAAACAAATAACCAGGAAAAAAGTTTAAAATGCCATAATTAGGGGATTTTGAGTTTTAAAATGAGAAGGAAACTGAAACATTCATGTGCAAATCACCATGCATACCTCTCATTTAAAATTTTACTCATTTAAAACAAGTTTCATACTATTAATAAATTTATACAAAAATCAGGAAATACACAGATAAAACTGTATCTCTACAAATCAGAAACTGCTATAAGTGATTAAATATTATATTTATAATATTACAAATAGTCTGAATAGATAATAGTTTTAGATACATTTTCTAGCATATTCAGAAAGTACAGAGATGCAGGTAGAACTCCAAGTGATTCCAATGTGTTGGCTGAGTACCACTGGATTAGAGGAAGAGAATGGAATGCATGGTCCAAGATCACATCAGTCAAGGTTACTGTCAATCACAGATCATAAATCATTAAGCTGAAATCAAACTTGGAATGAAACGTGCAGTATCTCTGGTTTCACCCAATTCTAAAAAAATACTATCTATTGTCTTTTAAATCAGAGGCAACCCATGTAAACATCTGACCAAGTGCTTCTGATATTCTTCTGTTTCACTGACCATATTGACTGTACCAAGAGTTGCAGTTCAGTGCCCAGATCCTAACGGTCTCCAGGACAAAGGCCACTAACATGGACTCAACTATTTACTGACTTAGCAAATAGTTAACTTGCTCAATGCTAAAGCAATGATCTGCAACCCCGAATATCACACATTCAGTAGGGTGTTTTCAAAAATACCCATGCCCAGAATCCAGTCACAGGGACTCTGATTTAACTGCTTGGAGCCTAAGTATCCATCCTCCCCTCCCCACCCCACCCCCAATCCCCAAAGCTCCCTGGAGACTTTCAAAGTGCAATCAGGATTGATGACCACTGGCTTAAGAAATGAAGAAGCTGCTTCTCTGACAAGGATCTGGCAGAGGATTTAGCGGACGTCTGACCAAGTCGGTAAGGAAGACTTTATCTGGTGAGTGACAGGTCCTGACCCTGAACACACCTCAGCCTAGGAGAAAGGCATCAGTCAGTCTGATCTGGTAAAATGGATTTTGATGTCAAATAGGCCTATGTTTTCACAGGTTTACTATGCTGACTTGCTCTTAGGAATCAGAGTATGAGAAAATTAAAGGGGAGGGGGAAAGATCACGGTGAGCTCAAAGACTGAGTATTTAAGGAAAACTAAGTTTAGAGAACAGGCCGTACAGCCACAGTTTTCATGGTGGACATCACAGAAGTTTGAAAAGCGTCCTGTTGAGAGCAACTGCCTAAAACGCTGGTGTAATTTTGAAGGTGGACATGACAATCACTCTATCCAGGGTGTTCACGGCCTTACTTAAAAGGTAGAGGCCTCAGAAATGCCTTTCCTTAAAAAGCTCTCAAAGAGAAGCAGAAGCTGCTTCTGACAAAAAGTAATCCTTTCTTAAAGAGGGACTCCCCACACACTGAGAATCCCCTGACTCAGGAGAAAAAGAGGTTACAAATCAAGGGGAAAGGCCCTGAATTACGTATAATTACAAAAATTCTGTGAAATCATGGACAGGGGCAAATGTATTATACATGGGACACCAGGGCCTGGTAGAGCCACACCAGAGTCAGGGGTCTTCTAAGAAGCTTGTTCATATTTCCCTATAGGTTTAATAGCTTGATCTGTCTGGGTCTAGAGCTGTAGCTGCTACTGGCCTGTAGTATACTTTTTGTCCTAAGCATGATTAGACTGACACATGATGAATTTTTCCTCACAGGTTGAAAAGAGGCATGCTTTGCTTTCACTCAGGGCAGGAACAGGTAAGTAAGAGTGTATGCAGGTTCCATAGTTTTAGACAAACCAAAAACAACCTCCAAAATCCAAAATATTGTCCAAGTCAAAAGAAGTATTTGGATTAGAAGTTATTATAGTAACTGACTTGCTGCACAAAAGCTACGAGGCAAAGGAGGCTGGGATTAACAGTAAATCATACCTCAAACAAAAAGGCTCTGTGACTTGATGAGATAAGATAGGGAGATTTACACATGGGAACAGCTGGGGGATCCACTGCCAGAGAAAAGCTTTTTAAAAGTGCAAGGAAGAAGGTCTGACAGCTCTTAGTCTGGGCACAGCTGATGTAAGAGGCTAATGTAGTTAGGGTTTGTGCTTTGTATTGGGATAGGGTGGGCAAGTGAGGAGAAGAGAGCTGTGGGTGGAGAGAAGAGACTAGGAACGAACAAAAAACCAGGTCCACTGGAGTTCCTCCCTCACTCTTCCGGGTAGAAGCGGCCTGAACGACCCCACCCATCGGAACAATGCCAATCACAATATTAGCAACGCTGATGCCATGAGGACTTAAGAGGAGACCCTGGAGACCCTCCGCCCATTTAGAGGCCTGACGGAGCTAGAAGAGGAGCTGAGGAAAAACTTAGGGCACAGCCCCTGGTGTCCCAAGTCTCCAAAGAAGCGAGAGGACATGTGCTGTGCCAGCTGAAAATGGTAATTTTGTTCTCTGTGAGGAGGAGTATCCGACAGGAAGGTAATTATCTCTCTCATACATAACGACGAACCATCCAGAGACTAAAAACCCCACATGAAAGAGGCAATACTGTCTATTAGTGATTAAAATCAACCACTTATTATTATATAGTATTAGTAAAATAACTACTTGATAGCTATAGAAAGTTTTTTTTTAAAAAGTCTAATGGAGTTTTTATAGCTGATGCAGTTTTCTTACCTTTACAGAAAACTATAATAACCCAAATACTTACATATCCGTTGTTTAGATCTATTTGCAAATATTAAAAGTGTACTACTGAGAAAAGGCTATAGTAACATGATTCACTAAGAAGTTCTTTCTAATTTATGAAATTCAGCATCTTCCATTAAATTACCTGTCCAAAGGAACCTTTGCCTATCAAGGAGTCAATTTCGTAACGATCCATCCACTTTTCTCCGTTTTTTACAATATAATCATAGTTATCATCATCATAACCATCATTGTAAACCTTCCGCTCCTTCTTATGACTAGAATCGTCTCCCTGGCCCTGCTGGTGTCTTCGCTTCTTTTTTGCATAGTAAACCTGAAATGAGAAAATAGTGTTAGCTGTGCAATGAAAAATTATTGGGGACGGGGAGCAGTGAGGGCACCATATGTCGAGTACATACAAGACACATCTGCTATCAGTAGGAAACTGATGAATTTTTATTCTTTATAACACACACAAAAATAAAATAAATAATTTTCTATAGTTGCTACTGGAATTACAGCATAACACTGATATATAACAAATGAAAAATACCTACAGTAAAATTCACTTTAGAATTATACTGTTTATACATTTTTTAAATAGGAGATGTTACGTGACCACGCCAAAGTCTCCCACTCAAGAAGAGTAACAGGACCTGATTCATATTTATTTTCTAAACTAAGGTATAATTTATATACAGTGAGATGGTATAGATCTTAGAGAAATGCAAATCAAAACCACAATGAGGTATCACCTCCCACCATCATCAAAATGGCCATCATCAGAAAATCTACAAACAGCAAATGCTGGAGTGGGTGTGGAGAAAAGGGAACCCTCTTGCACTGTTGGTTGGGAATGTAAACTGATACAGCCACTATGGAGGACAGTATGTAGGTTCCTTAAAAAACTAAAAACAGAACTACCATATGACCCAGCAATCCCACTACTGGGCATATACCGAGAGAAAACCATAATTCAAAAAGACACATGCACCCCAATGTTCACTGCAGCACTATTTACAATAGCCAGGTCATGGAAGCAACCTAAATGCCCATCGACAGACAAATGGATAAAGATGATGTGGCACATATATACAATGGAATATTACTCAGCCATAAAAAGGAACGAAGTTGGGTCATTTGTAGGGACGTGGATGGACCTAGAGACTGTCACGCAGAGTGAAGAAAGTCAGAAAGAGAAAAACAAATACTGTATATTAACGCATATTTGTGGAACCTAGAAAAATGGTACAGATGAACCAGTTTGCAGGGCAGAAACAGACACAGATGTAGAGAACAAACGTATGGACACCAAGGGGGGAAAGCGGCGGGGGGTGGGGGTGGTGGGATGAATTGGGCTATTGGGACTGACAATGTATACACTGATGTGTATAAAATGGATGAATAAAAAGAACCTGCTGTATAAAAAAATAAATAAAATTCAAAAATTCAAAAAAAAAAGAGTGTATAATATGAAGGACTTTGGGGAAAATGTATACGCTGATGTAATCAACATATGCTAAACAAAATAAAGAACATTTTCATCCTCCTTATATTCGAGTTCCCTCATGCCCCTTTCTAGTCAATCCCAATTTTATATTTGATCCTAGAGCAAAAGATTTTAAAAATGAAAGTTTAAATGTATAATATATGAACTGATGTTTTGCTAATATAAAAAGGGCCTCTGAGACATGCCTAGTTCTTAAGCCTGTAATAACATATTAATGAAAAACAGCCATGCCCCTCCCCCCCCCACTAAAGGCCGTAAACCTTATGGTTGGTCACAGATTCAGTTATTTTCCTTGTATCTGTTTTTCTTATAAAGTAGTTTCTAAGACTAGTAAAAAATAATAGGTGGACTAGGCAACAGTCCAGGTAACTGGTAACTAACTTTCAGGAAATTATAAATTACATTGCACAGAGCAACATCAGAAAAACTAGTTTACAAGGTGGCAAAACAGTTAAAAACAAGCTTTAACAAAGCTACTGTTAACAGTTTAACAATTTATCAGATATTAGCAAACTGACATTAATCAATTGTTAACAACAATTTATCAGATATTTTCAGATGACCAAAAGCTAGTTTGGAACATCTTTTATAACATATAAATTGTATACAAAATCCAACTTAGAAATGCTCCTCATTGAGTTCACTTCAATTTTATCCTGCCACATTGCCACAATAATATAATACTGGCATTAAAACAGCATCAAACTGCTATAAAATTTATACACACATAAGAACATCTTTTTAGTTAAATGGCTCTAAAGCTGGTAGAAGATAAGTCTTTAACGTGAAAGGATGTAAGGCCCCATTGGAAGAGGAAAGAAAGCATAGGGTGTCCACCCTTCTCCAAAAAAGCTCATTTAATAATTCATTACAGAGCTAGAGTTGGGATTAGAAGCAAGTAACAACCAAGCCAAAGGTCTAAAACACCAGAAAAATAAGTTTTGAAAGCCAAGAGTCAAGTTGAAAGGTGAGTAATTCAAAGGGCTGTCCATGTTTTTTATCCTACTTACTTCCACCAAAAAGGCTTTCAGATATCTTACAATGAAAAAGATACAGATAAAAGAACACACATTAATTTAAAAAGAAAACTTTAAACTACATAAATATAGATAGATCAGACAGACTAGAGCAAATGCCTGTTAACTGGGCATTAAATACATCTCAGAGCTTCCTGACATCCATGGTAAAAGTAGAAACAGATATGTAAAAATTTAAGCAAAATTCCGTAACATTTTCATACTTTTATATTATCATTATTACCTTCCTTTCCCCTGAAGTTTTGGAGACGAGATTATTATAAAAATGACAACTCAGCATATATTAAATATAACTTTAAAAAGAAGGGAAGTTATCCACAATTATCTTAACTTTTTGCAGTCCTTGTTAATATATCTTATTTGTTTTACACAATTATAATTTTATTATCTATAAATCACTAACTTACCAGTCTTCATGATAATCATCAATATGACAATCCTTGGGAGTTAAAAATAATTTTAGTATGCTTAAATATGCTACAAAATAACTTTTTTCCCTTGCTCTATTGCAAAATAGATGCTGTTATAACAAATCAATAGTCTTACCTCATTAATATGCTTATATGTTTTGATCAAGTCAACAGAAAGTTTTCTCAGGGGAGCAGTAGCTGGATCACGGAAGGTTTGGGGCATCCGCCTCTGTAACATGACAATATCAGGCATCACCTTAAATAGACAGAAAAGACTAGCACTTTAACTATACTGTACTGGTATGAATTCCCTCTTCTGTAACCTGTGTATACGTATTTAAAAAAGAAAAAAAAAAAAGACATCTACGTTAGAATAGTATACATGCTCTCTTGGTCATATCTCTTTCATCCGGAATCCACTGAAGACAACCACTGGAACAAATAAACGGAATTAGAAGATAATATGCCCAGTTACCAAGGCTTCAATTTTGTTCCCCAAATTCAACAAGAGGAATACAGATATACCCCTGGTCCAGGAGACATGCATGATGCTGCCCAAGAGAGCTTCTCCACCATACAATTAGCCTAAGGAAAAATTTCTTCTAAATTATTCCTAAAGCCTGACCTGGTTCACAACAGGCAGATGAAGACTAACCCACCTTTCAGCTTCCTAACACGGGAGTCTAAGACCCAGTTGGCACCACGAAGCAAGCTGTTCATGGAGCAGAGATGGAGCTTGGTGCTGCAGAACTGCAGCTCCTAACAACCCCAGACCCTGCCCTCTGACCAGCACCTGTAAGCGAGGCTGAAATCTTCACTCACTTCTTTAACATGACTGAGTAAAACATGCCCTCTACCTTAACACATCCGACCTCACCCTCCACATTCCCTGTGCCCCCAGCCAGCAGCACTTTTCGGCACCTGACGTACTGGTATACATTTACTCATTTACTGGTTCTAGTTTTTTCTCCTTCTCCTTCCACTACAAGGAAAACTCCATATGGGGCAGGGATTCTTTTCTTCAATGTTGTATTCCCTTTGCCTAAAACATAGCAGGCATAGTGCCTGAAACACAGTAGGTACTTAATAAGTATTTGTTGAATAAACAAGTGAAGTCATAATACCAATATCCCTACCTATGATTACACTAGGAGCTGACCACAATTAAGTTCCAGAGAACACCTTAAAGCTAATGAAACTTTCTTTTAAAAAACTCATTTCAACCATACTCCCACCCCAAAACTAACCCATGTCTCCTTCATCGTCCAATAAGCAGTCAGGGTTCAACTGTGAGCTTCCTGCTAGACGGGGGATAAAGCAGGAAACACAAACGTCCTCCAAACATAAATACGCCCAGGAATGCTGCAACTAGCACACTAATGATCCTGGATGGCTGCTCTCGCCCCACTCCTCAAGCCTCAGCAAAGGAGTTCCCAGAGGGGCTTCTTGCAAGCAACAGATCCTCAAAACCAATTAATGACATCAAGGTACCTTCAGTCACTACGCTAGTCATCCTTGGGCTCCTATCTAGCTCTCCTGCAGACATTTACACCAGCAAAACAACTGAGCCAGAAGCCCCTGATGCAGCCCCTTCCAAAGGCACTGTGGTCAGTCAATCTGAGGGGCAGAGAGACAGAAAAGACATCATACTAAGGCCTCACAGAAATGTCTGGAGTCTTGGGAAAATTAACCAAGTTAACCCACAGTAACAAAAAAAGAAGACAGAAGGGTTGTAAGGACAGAACAGAAAAGAATCCCCATCCCTGTGGTATGAAAAGATGGTGTTACCTAGTTACAGTTACCTAGCTGTACTCTCTCTCCCTCTCTTTATTCTATGAAAGAAGTGGAAATTTGAGCCAAATTTGAGGATTATAACCTGGGAATAGCAACTCAGCTCCGAGAACTGTTCCGACCCTGCACTTTCTCTTAAACTGGTATTAACATTAGTTTCTTCTGAATCTATACTCAAACTCTAAAAAGTTGTTATCCAGATGGCAAATTCACTGAACTACTGAATTAAGTTAATAATTATTACCTCTTCCCATGATCCTCTCCTTCTTAAAGTTCCAAATAAGGTTTAAGGGGAAAAAAACCTTCAATGATTGTAACTATTTGTCTGAAAATATAGTAAGACTTAATAATATCACCTGAATTAATTTATTAAATATATATAGTTTTATTTTTCTAAATATGAACAGGTACAGTTAGGTTCACAGAATATTTGGTTCTTATACCTGTCCTTGGAGACTTAATTTAATGAATAGACAATATCAGTAATAAGCATGTCAAATACTTTTATGTGAATGAATGCTATAAGCATTTAAGGTAATGAAAGAGGTTTCTCTTAATGTATTTCCTTTTTTTATTTTTTAAGACCCTGACCGTTTTCAAGCAGGTAACGTACTTGGCAAGACCATTCTTGGACTATTGGAGTGTAGCCTCACTGTGAGGTTTCACGAAATCTGAACCAGTGAAATACTTGTTTACCTTTGCCACAAGAGTTGATAGAAGGTATAACTACTGCTAGAAACAACTGAATTACTTAAGTAGTTAATAAAATAATAATTATAGCAGCAAATATTTGCTATACACTATGCTTTGAGTATGCAGATTTTTACTCTCTCATGTAATCTCTCAACAATCTCATGAGAATAAGTAACGTAAGTTCCTGTCACTATTTTACAAATGAGAAATCTGAGTCTCTGATGTAAAGTTACTTGACCAAGGTCTTAGAGCCAGTAAATAACAGAGATGAGAAGTGAGGCAGTCTCCCACCTAAGCCTATGATCTGAACCACAGCACTGGGCCAGGAGCTCCCTGTTAATTTTAGGTCTCTTGTCTATCCTCTTGTTGAATCATTTTTAGTCTATTTGTTGGACAAAATAATTGAGTCATGCATAATAAACACCAATAAAATAAACATATGCATTTATTACAATTAATTATGTTCAAAACTGTAAATATGCTTTTTTAACTTGCCCACTTACAATTCCACTGGTATTTCAAACATTGGAAAAAATGTGACTAGTCCCTACATCTTTCCATGAGTAATTATGCTCGCTTAAAACACCAAAATCCCACAATCAAAAAAAAAATATTTAATGTACATAGGACATGCATGAAATTGGATATGAATGTCATTTTGCCTAACAATCTTTCCTGCACTCAATATATGAGTGTGTGCTATGGCCTTGGCATGTCACACAATATTGCTAACCTCTTCCACAATTAGCCAAGCTACCTAAAAGGCCAAATCAATTAGCTAATTCTAAATACATTACTTTTCTTATATTCTTCTGGCAACAGAAGTTACTATTTCAGGGGCATCTGTATATATAAACCAGATGAATTCCACCCACAAAAAACTGGCCTTTAGATCAGGCTGTATTTCAGTGCTTCAAATAGTGCCTTGTGCAGGCTAGGCACTCAAAATATATGGAAAGAACAAATTAATTTCGACAAACTAAACGACTCTTCCTTCACAAACTTTCATTGTGATTTCCTGTTAGGCAACCAAACTTTCTGTTTCTCATTACTGTGGTGCCATAAGCACCAATCCAGAATTAGAAAATTAACTCGTCCAAATACACACTCAGTGACAAATCTATATACTAAGACTCAAGCCAGCCCTAAGCATTTGACACTTTGTCCACTTCCAACTTCTTATGGTCACACAGTCAGGAGAATGTAACATAGCAAGCTCCCTCCTTCCCTTCCGCAACCGGGCAGAAGTCCCACAGCGTTCAGAGGACCCAGGGGCTCCCTGAGCCACTGCAGGTAGCCCAGTCCCACCACGGCCTCCACACCGCCCCCAACGCCCTCGCTGAAAAGGCAAAGTTGTTGAGCTATTCTCCTGCCACCTCAGCCTTAAGGCTCCGGGAGCCAAAAAATGTCACATCCCCAACGCTCCTATCTCTTGACCTTTCTGTGTGATGATGACACAGATCACAAAGCCAAAAAAAAAAAAAAAAAGGCAGTAGTTCACACCTCCTGCTTAGAGAAGCTACAAGAGCTAAAACAATCTTTTTTTCTTGAAAAGATTCCACAGTGTTAAGTACCAGGACTTTATTTAAAAATTGTTTTCTAGTTTAATAATACCTATTCCACCCATTTTATTTATGTTTACCTCATATTTTCATATATACAGTGGAGAATGAGAAACACCATGTCCTGCCATTCTTGCTATTTTGAGAGCTATTAATAAAGTTGAATAGCATATGTAACACATATCCAGAGTACATAGCTTAAGGACCATGAAAGGTACTGTGAAAACTGTTAACAGCCCAGAGAGACTCAGCATTCTGAACATCAATCATACTTTTCTACTTTTACTTTTACTTCATTTATCTTTTGAACAAAACTGTATTTAAATTCACATGAAACACACTCACACAAGAAAGATTAACTACCAGAAATAAAACGTTATCTTCTTTCAATTTACTTGTACAATAAACCTTACTTAAAAGGCACTGGATAGGATGATTATGGAAACTGAATAATGAAATTACAGAAGTTTAGAGCTAGAGAGTACTCTTCTGGAGGGTCTAGTCTAAGGTCTCAATCTTACATTCAAGGAACAGAGAGAAGAGTCCATGTGACCTGACTCAAGTCACACAACCAGATCATGAGTCAAGACCTGGAGCCCATGTCTTATGACCAGCAGACCACGCCACATCAGTGCACAGTTTCAGTGCTTTACACTTCAGTTATAAGTAAGCTTTTAATCTGACTGCCTTATTAAGGTTCCAAAATTTCTGGAGTTTGGCAGAAGTATCTGGCTGAATACTATTACTTAAAAGACAGTCTTTTTACATCATATGAATCTTTTAAAATATTTTACAGCTTACAATGGAAATACTAAGTAACTTATCTCTTATTTGAAAATAACCCTCAAATAAGATGTTAGCTGTATCTAAAAATAGGTACTTTGTTAACTAAATTACCTACTACAATAATACAAACATAAAATAACTTGAAAGGACTGGATTTTTTTCCTAGCCCTCCTTAGATGCCAGGTGTTACAACTGAAAAAGCACTGTATCTAAGAAGAAAGAAGCCTGGGCTGGGCCCCAGAGTCTACTGCCTACGTACTTGGAGAAGTCACAAATGGGAGCTCAATCCCTTCAGCTGTAAAAACAGACTAAAAACAGACACCCTACCTGATAGGCTACTTTTGAACAAGCGGGAAAATGAATCCAAACATACTTTGTTTCTTGAAAGTACAGTGCAAAGACTGTGCTATTACTACTTTTTGGACGTCCAGAGAATTTTCTTCTGGTACACAATTGAACACTTTCCAATTCTGACCAACTGCTCCAATTCTCAAACATACAACTTCTCCATTTACTGCATAAAACAAATTCTTATGTCCTGTCATAATTTATCTTACTATTTAACTGTGAATGTTATTCACGTTATATAATTTTATAAATGTAAAGTCAGTTCAACTATTCGCAAGATCTTATTATAATACATACAAGGGTGTCCTCAAATAATGATGTTACTTAACTGTAGCCAATAGCTCATTAAAACCAGGTATTATTGAATTAGAGAAAACACATTTCCTTCAAATAATCCAGTATAAGAAATACTTCGAAATTTTCTGGTTTTGTTCATATCGAAAGACCTAAACAGTGACAAACCAAATTCCTGAGTACATGGAAAAACAGCCATTTTCTGCACTCATCACACACAGTCTCAGTGGAGAAAGAAACTTTACCACAACTATAGCTAGTAAAAAAAAAAAAAACTCCCGAAATCAAAAATCAACATGGTGGACGCAGTTAATTCAGGAAGATTCATACACACATGCATATGTGTATGTATATCAAGAGATTTCAGCATTTATTCACTTTACACTATCCGTCTTATGGAAAATTGCTGAATCTCTAGTCTGAATATTAGAATGAGCAGCATGATTAATTTATAATTTTTCTTTTTAATTTTAAGGAGTTTCATATTTATTTTTATAAATGTGTACTAAAGTAGTTTATGACAGTATAAAATCACCTCTTTAAGTTTCCTATAATGGAATCCGACTTGTTTTCCTATAACTTACATTTTTCTACTTAACCGCCTTCCCATAAAAATAAGGTTTAAGTTTTTTTATTTTAACTAATATTCTTTAGAAGTAACTTTTCCCCCATCGCAGAATGAGAGAATGTGGTTATGTTTATAAGTGTTTTCCTAATTAAAGTGAAATACATAGAAAAAAACAACCAAAAAAACCAACAAACTTTTAAACACAAACTCCTTAATATCATATTCTGTCAACCCGGAATCCCATGTGACATGTAAACTGAAAACCATTAAGGCATTCTGCCTATTTACTATTTTACCATTTTAATGAATAAATTACCATCCCAACAAATCATTTCTGATACGTCATAAACTTACCTGGTTAGTTAGAGGCTGCTGAATCTGGTCAGAATAAGATAAGGCAGAAACCTGTTGGTCACTTATGTTTGGCTGGCGACGGTCACTGTACTGATGTGAATGGGGCATCTGTCCAGCCATCTGAAGGCCAGCAGCATGGAATGAAAATGACGGTGCAAGCCGAACAGATGAAGGTTTGCATGCTGAAGTCTCTCCTCCTACGAGAAGATAATAAGTGAGGTTTAAAGGATGCATTCATATCCCAATGTTTGTATCTTTTGACTTATCTGATAGTTCTTTAAATAAGGACTTTAGGATGTTCAATAATATTAAAAACCTTTAAAACTGCAAACAAGGGTATGACACTCAACACAACTGTTGTACAATAAACGGTATAAAATATAATAGTGATTAAAATGAATATCTACAAGTCTGTTTTAAGAGAAAATCGTAAGTAAATCTTTTTGTAAAGCAATGGAAACAACCTTTCATACTTATTTTTACATGAGATTTGCATCAATTGAGAACCACAAGTTGCAAAAGTAATCTCTGAATTCCTGCAAAGGGCCTGTCCAATGGATCAGCTCTTCAAAAATCAATTCAAAGGAAAACTGCTGAGATGCCGCTTTGTCAGGTGTACGGCAATCAACAGCCCTAGCATCCCCCAAACCAGGTGAAAAATGTGTCCTAATGGTGCTCACCACTGACACAGGTAATTAAAAGTTGAGCGCACAATACATGGAAACAAATTCACAGGCTGCTGTATTCCTCTGGACTCTTCTGACACAGTCCTAAGAGAGCCTAGACCAGGCAAGCTTGCCACAAAAACGAACAATCAATTATTATCCCACAGGTAGGCTGGGACCATGGTCATAATTTTCATAGTAGAAATGGAAAATTAACATTTTGGTCCTAAAAGTATTTGGTAGCTAGCTAATAAAAGTTAATTTTTCTTTAGGAAAAGAAAAAGACTTTTCTTCTTATATTCAACCAAATCTGCAAATTTGCAATCACAGACTAAAGCCAGAAAACAAAGCACAAAACCCTGGTCAACCAACACTGGCCCAGCATACATGTGCCTGTCTTCCTGAGTAAACCAGCAAACTCTCACCACACAACACACTACACTGTTCAGCACCAGAGTAATTTTTCTCAAGTCAGCTTGTTTTGAAACACACAACGGCGCTGGCCCCAAAGTGAAGATCACAGATTCTTAGCCAGGCTGCTGTAGTTTGAAATTTCAGCTTCACGCTTACCAGCTGTGTGGCCTTGCACACCTAATTTCCTGATAATGATAATAATATCTACCTCAAACAGCTGTGGTGAAGGTTAAGTGCTTTAATACATGTAAAGTACTCAGAACGGCTCCGGCAATTAGTAGATGGCTTAATATCAACTGCAATTACTGTACTGTAATGCACGGTACAGTAGATGGGAAGGAAGATGGGGCGAGTACCCTTCTTCTGGAGCATACAATCTCTACCTGAATGTTGCACAGATTCTGCAAACTAAAGAGAACAAAGCTCAATTCCCCCAAAAAAATATAAGTTCCACTTCTATATCCTACACAGCAAACGCCACTACGCCACTGTCTTCTACCCAGTCAACCAGAATCAAAGCTCTGAGAGTCACGTTCGAGTTCGTTTCCTCCACAGACGGCGTTGTGCAAATGGAAGCCCAATCTCACTGATTCTACTTCCCATAGAACGCTCAGTCTCCTCTTTTCATTTCCATTACCCCATGCCTCACTTAGATGACTAAAATAGATTCCTAATAGATCTCTCTCTCTTTACTTTGCCCATGTGCAACTCCGCATTTCTTCAATAAGATGGCTAGAGTGACCTTTCTAAGGCGCAAATCTCAAGTCTTCACCCCCTACTTAGTGTTGTTTTTAGACCTTAGCTTCTATCTCCCTCCATTACAGCGTGCAGTCCTTACTGACCCAGAGTATATGATTCATAAATATCTGCTGGATAAGTACAATGTTCCTGCGATGACAGATGGGATAACTTCTCTAAACATTTCATTATTCATAATTTAAAAATACATTCAGTTAATCCAATTCCATAGAGCGACTTTGTTCGGTGAAAAAAAAAATTTATCCTAAGGAAATAATAGATGATGTGCACAAAAATAGTAAGGGAAGAATGTTTATTTTGGTATTGTTTACAACAGCAAAAAATTGGAAACCTAACTGTCAAATAACTGTGTGTGTGTGTGTGTGTGTGTGTGTGTGAAATCTGCATGTTAAAAACACAAAAGACTGGGAAGGAATATAAATGTATATGAAAAGAATTGGGGTCCTTGATCTATAAATAACTCTTATAAATAAATAGTAAAAAGACTAAGGCTCTGAATGGCAAACGACTTAACCATTCTGGGTCCTAGTTTCCCTACCTATAGCCGAGGTATTATTACACTAACCCTGTTCCTTTCGGATTGTTATAAAGTTTAAACGAGATACCACAAGTTGACATGCAGAATAGAACCTGGTACATAACATGCACTTTTTAAAACATACAAGCTTCTGTTTCTATCATCAATGTCATTATTACATATTGTGCTTAAACTTATTTGTTATAATACACAGAAAAAAGTCATTAGTATATAGCTTAAATAATTATCATCAATTGAACCTGTGGGACAAGAAAAATAAAACTTGCCATCATTCCAAAAACCCCGCACCACTACTCTATGACGCCTCCCAATCAATACCTAACTCCCTCATCCCTAAAAGTCACTAGTATCTTGACCTCCAAAAACAGATTAGTTTTAACTTTATATAAATGAATTTGTTTGCTTAATGTTAGGCTTATGAACTGTAGCTTGTTCATTATCATTACTTTATCCACCCTACTTTTGATTGACATGGGATTACTTCCAGTTCAGAGCTATTAAGCATACTGCCACTAGAAAGATTCTTAAGTGATTTTCAGTATATACAGAGATGCTGTTCTGTTGGTTTTTTTCCAGTTTTTTGTTTAATCAACCTATTTCTTCCCTAGTAGTTTATGAAAATTCCCTGTGCTCCATTCCTTCACTGACACTTGGAACCATCAGTATTTCTAATTTCAGCCACTGCAGTAGGTGTGTACTCCACTGTGATTTTAATGTGTATTTTCCTCGTGACTATGAGCATCTTTTCATTTATCAGCCACTTGGGTATCCACTTAGGTGAAATGCCCATTCAGATTGTTTTTCAATTTTTCTATCAAGAGAGTCTTTTTCTTACAAATATCTAAAGCCAAAAAAAATTAGATTTTTTAACATATTTTGGATATAAGCCCCTTATCGGTTATAGATGGTTTACACTGTCACTCTCTTAATGGTATTTCTTAAATTAACTAATTTATTTTATTTATTTTTTGGCTGTGTTGGGTCTTTGTTGCTGTGCACGGGCTTTCTCTAGTTGCAGCAAGCGGGGGCTACTCTTCATTGCGGTGCACGGGCTTCTCATTGCGGTGGCTCCTCTTGTTGCAGAGCACGGGCTTCAGCAGTTGTGGCTCACGGGCTCAGTAGTTGTGGCTTGTGGGCTTAGTTGCTCTGTGGCATGTGGGATCTTCCCTGACCAGGGCTCAAACCCATGTCCTCTGCATTAGCAGGTGGATTCTTAACCACTGCACCACCAGGTAAGTCCCTTAATGGTATTTTTTGACAAACACAATCTCTTAATGTTACCAACTTTTGGTTTAAAATTAGTACTTTTGGTGTCTGTTTAAGAAATCTTTCCTTTATACCAAAGTCATGAAGAAATTCTATGTTATCTTCCAGAAGTTGGGTTTTACCACTCACATCTAAAGATGGGCAGTGCTCTTGGATCTGATTTCTGTGTTTCCGATAGCAATCAAGTTTCATTTCCCCCCAAAATGGACATCCAGTTAACCCAGAACCAATTATTAAAAGGAAAGTTTCCCCAATGCCCTGTAATGTCAACTTTATCAAAAATCACATACTCATACATACTTGGATCTGTTTTCGGATTCTTTATTCTCTTATGCTGGATAAAGACTTACCTAGATTTCTTATATCTTTGTGTAAGAACCAAATACTGTCTAAATTATGATAGCTTCAGAAGTTGTAATATGTAGTAAAGAATTTTTTTCTTCTACAAGAATGTTTTGGCTATTCTTAGCCCTCTTTGTGTCTATGTTTTAGAATTAGCTCATCAAATTCACCAAGACAAATAAACGCATGCTGGGATTTTGGTTGAAACTGCATTGTCTGGAACAGCGCTGTCCAACAGAAAGTTCTGCAATGATGGATTTATCTGCACTGTCTAGTAAGTAGCTACTAGCACAACTGGGCACTTGAACAGTCTTCTTTTTCCCCCTTCCTAATCTTTATTCTTCACTTTGCCTTATTCTACTTGCTGCCACCTTCAGTACAGCGGTGATTAGAGGAGGAGGTACAGGTTCTGCTGTCTCACACCCAATCTCAGAAGGAAAGCTTTCTGTATTTCTCCAGTATTGTGGTTGCTCTAGGTATTTAACTGATAACCACTACCAGGTTAACGAAGTTCCCTTCTAGCCCCAGTGTGCTAAAACCTTTTTCTCATGAACTGATGCTGAATTTTATTAAATGCTTTTTCTGAACTCCACTGAAATGACATTCGTTTTCTTATTTATTTAGTTAATGTGGTGAAATACACTGATTGGTTTATGAATGTTAAATCAACTGCGGCATTCCTGGAATACAATTTGGTCATGATTATCCTTTTGTAGTAAATTCACTGGTGACATCACCTGGACGTGCAGCTTTCTTTGTGGGTAGGTTTTTCAATTAAATTTCTTAAATATGACTATTCAGATTTTATATTTTCTGGTGTGTCTGTTTTGGTAGGCTATATGTTTCCAATACTATGTTTACTTTGTCTAAATTTCAAATGCATCGTTATCAACTTCTTCATAATACCCTCTCTTATAAGCTTTTCAATCAATGTAGACATAACTGTAGTGACAGCCCCTTCACCCAAGATTGGTTAAAAAGTCCTTCTCTTTTCTTCTTTGTGATCAGTCTAATCAAAGGTTTATTAATTTTATTAAGTATTTCTCTTTTACTTGTATTTTCTATTTCTGTACTTATCTTATTCCATCGGTTAGCCAGAGAGGTATATTAAAAATCTCCCATTTAGGTCATGTACTGCATTACATAAATTGAAAGTTTTTATACCTTCCTGATGAATAAGGCCTTTTATCATTAAAAACTGCCCCTGTTTGTT